CCAAGTTGGTCAGGCTGGTCTCAAACTCCCAACCTCAGGTGATCCGCCCGCCTCGGCCTCACCAAAGTGCTGGGATTGCAGGTGTGAGCCACCCCACCCGGCGGGACCTAATATTCTTACAGCTTCCATTTCTACTGCTTTTCAGTGAGCATTTTCCCTGGCTGAACTCGTGGGCTCTCTGTGATGGAACTGCTTTCTTCCACGGACCCCAAAGGCTACGATGCCTTCTGGATTGGACCCCAGGGGGAACTTCAACAGATTTAGGCTCCTCAGTGTCCATTCCATCTCCTGCTCCTCAGTTTGGGGATGAAGTAAGGGTGACTTTGGTTTTTAAACTTTTAAGAGTAGTCATTTTTTTTTTCCCTTAACTACTGAAAATGCACTCCAAGACTTCTACTGAACAACCTCTAAGATTCTTATTCTCCCCATTTCAGGGGGCTTCACTCAGCAGGCTCTTTGAATCGGTATCGCCAGGTTAACTTCTCACAGTCCTCTTCCATTCCGAAGCCGACCCGCCCAGGCCCTCCAGACATCCCTTCCATTGCCTTTGGATTAAGTTTAGGATGGATCTTTCTTTTCCTCTTCCATCAAAAATAGAATCCAGATTTGGGGGATTTGACAGGCAATAGGGCCCATAGGCCATATTATACTCAACTAAGATAGGATCAGATTTATAGATGCTCCATTATTTTATGAGCTATAAAATGTAACCAATTAAACCATTAACACAATGCTTTCTTTAGAATTTTATTATGTTCTTTACGTACTCATATATGTATACATTATTATATACTTATTGAAAGAGCTCAGACTTTTTTAGACATGTATCATGTACAATATGAGGAAAGCAAATTTGCTAAAACTCTCTTCTGAATCCCTTGTCAGTGTTTTTTTTTGGTTTTTGTTTTGTTTTGTTTTGTTTTTTTTAAGATGAAGTCTCACTCTATCGCCCAGGCTGGAGTGTAGTGGCGCGATCTTGGCTCACTGCAATCTCTGCCTCCCGGGTTCAAGTGATTCTCCTGCCTCAGCCTCCCAAGTAGCTGGGATTATAGGCACCCGCCACCACACCCAGCTAATTTTTTGTATTTTTACTAATACAAAAAAACAGGGTTTCACTATGTGGTCAGGCTGGTCTCAAACTCCTGACCTCATGATTCGCCCGCCTCAGCCTCCCAAAGTGCTGAGATTACAGGCGTGAGCCACTGCACCCGGCTCAGAGTCTTTAAGTGCCTGTTTTTCAAACACCATTGCCTGCTGTGCCATCAATAGAACTGAAAATGCAGCATTTCTTTTTCTTTTTCTCTCTCCCCTCCCTCCTTCCCTTCCTCCCTTCCTTCCTTCAGGATGATCTCGGCTCACTGCAACCTCCATCTCCCAGGTTCAAGTGATTCTCCTGCCTCAGCCACCCAAGTAGCTGGGATTACAGGCACGCACCACCACACCCAGGTAATTTTGTATTTTTAGTAGAGATGAGGTTTCACCATGTTGCCCAGGCTGGTCTTGAGCTTCTGGGCTTGAAACATCTGCCCACCTCAGCCTGCCAAAGTGCTGGGATTATAGGTGTAAGCCATTGCACCCTGGCTAGCATTTCTTAAGCCAGTACTACACCATGATCACCAGCATTTTCTTTCTGGGGACCCACTATGCAAGTGTTGATACTGGAGCTTGATCTTACCGGGAGATAAGATTAATGGAAGTTTTTGAGACAACAGAGAGGACTCACATTCCTGTCTCAAATAGGCAGGCAATGACACTAAGTCATGACTGCTGTCTGGCCAACAGCAATTGTAAGACACCATTAATCCTAAAGTGTGATCGATTGTATGCTGTATCTCAATATCAGAGATGCTACAATGTGAAAATTGATGAATTGAGACAGTTCTTATGAGACTACCTTTTGGGTTATCCTAAAGGTGATACCCAATCTAGCCCATGAGCAATGGCCCCAGCTTCAGCCACTGACAGGCATCATTTTATCAGACCAGGTCAGTCTGGGCCAAGTGCGTCCTGGACATTTGGAATTGGAACTAGTCTCTTGTGTTAAGAAAATGTCAACACTAGGCACTGCGGAATTGGCCTCTGCCACCATGGGGAGGTGTGCACCCAAAGCTGGACTGCAGGGAGAGGAGGGAGGCTGACACACAGAGGGGCCAAGAAAAGCTAGAGAGAAGGCAGGACCTCAGCCTCCCAAGGGCTTTCCAGTTCTGTGGCTGGTGCCTACCTGGAGCTGGACTGCCCTCTGGCTCCTGCATCTGAGACAACAGGAAGCCTTACGATAATTTCCCCTGTGTCTTTAAGCTGGCTAGTTGGCCCATGTCGCTGACAAATGTCACCACCTTCGCTGTGCTTGCTCAGGTCTCAACTGCATTTCAGACAGCAGCTTCTCCACCCCTTTTGGGGCTGTGAAAGCCATGATGATCAGAAAACAACTCACAAAGCAACTTCTAGAGCTACTGCTCAGATGAGGATCCTATAAGGCAGTGTTTGAGTGTCCTGTAAAGCTCAGGTCCAGCTACTGCCCAGTTACCTATGTTCTGTCCCCCTAAGCCTGGCCTCATCTGTAGGGGGCACTGAGGGAGGGGCAGCCTGTGACCTTAGAGACCTCCAAGTGAGGTGACTTGCCCCATTCTTGGATTAAGCCCACAGCTGTCAGCCTCAGCCCTTTGCCACTAACCAGTTGAGCTAAGCAGCCCACCCATCTCCTGCTGGGCCCAGCTATTCTGGCCTTTTGGGGCTCTCAAAGCTTGGAAGCTTCCTTTTGCCCTCTCCATGGATGGCACTTTTAGGGCTCAGGAAGTCAAGTCCAGCAGCTAAGGCAGTCTCCCAAGGGCCAGTGTTGCACACTCAGGCCTTTGAACCTAGGGCAGTTTCTCCAGCAGGTCATGCCTATGCCACGGGTCACTGACATCAGGAAGGCAGTCAGCTCCCCAGGGCATGAACGATGGAGCACATATTAGCTTCCTATGGTTGCTGTAACAAATTATCACAAATGAAGTGGCTTAAAACAATACAACCATATTATCTCACAGTTCTGGAGAACAGAGACCCAAAATGGGTCTGTAGACCTGCATTCTATCTGGAGGCTCTCAGGGAGAATCTGTTTCCCTGGCTTTTCTAGCTTCTAGAGGCTGTCCACATTCATTGGCTTGTGGCCTCACATCACTCCAACCCCTGCTTCTGTTGTCACATTTCCTCTGATGCTGACACGCCTGCTCCCTGAGCACCCACCCAGATAATCCAGAACAATCTCCCCACCTCAAGATTCTTAATCACATCTGCAAAGTCTTATTTGTCATATAAATTAACAATCATGGGTTCCAGGGACTAGGACATGGACATCTTGGGGGATCATTACTCAGCCTACTACACAGCACAGAGACTGAAGGATGGCTTCCCTTAATGGTATTTTTTCGTAATCAGGCCTTTTTCTTTAAGAATATTTTAAACAGCATAACAAAGTACAGCTGACTTTTTTCCCCCCTTTTACAGACAGGGTCTTGTTATGTTGTTCAGGCTGGACTCAAAACTCCTGGGCTCAAGTGATCCTCACCTCAGCCTCCCAAGTAGCTATTACTATGGACATGCACCACCATGCCCTGCTACAGCAGTTTTTTTATACAACTCTAGGGACAATACCCATTGCCACTTATTACATGCCTACTGTGTGCGAGAGAGAGAAGGAAAGCAACATTATTGGCCCCATTTAAGGAGGTCACTTGCCCAGGGTAATCCAACTGGCCGGTGGCAGGCAGACTTGAGCTCACATCTGCCTCCATTGACAGGCACTGATGTTGAGGTTGTATTTCTTCCCTTGGCGCCCATAATGCAGACCCTAGTCTAAAGTCTTGTTTTTGTCGGAGAACTTTGGAGCCTTAAATTCAGAGGCGCTTCACACAGCTCATGCCACCTGCAGAAGTACCAGAGAGCCTGGCATAGGCCAAGGAACTGGCAGAGGCTTCAGCCTCTCCTCACCACATCAGGAAATTGAATCTGTTCTCTCTTCTAGTAACTTACTTCACCAAATGACTACACTTGTTGGGCACTAACCCCATGTCCAAGGGACAAACTATGAGCTGGTCCAGTGATGGAAGAGGTGGTAGAAGCTAGGTCACACTCCTGCCACAGATTTGGTACCAGAATGGTCATTAGGGTTTTGTTAAGGAATGGACAGGCCAGAGAGAGGAGAGATGGGCCTTCATGAGGCTATCAACGAAGTCCCTACAAAAAAGTCAGAGGTAGATAAAAATGTAAGAGCTATACATCCACATAGGCAGGAAAGAGATGTAATGAGTTCATCCCACTGACGCATGAACAATTAATTGCTACCTGTCAGTTGTCAATGGGGAGAATTTCATCCACCCGATCATTTAAAGCAAGCTGGAACAGGGTACAATGAGAATTGGCCAAGGATGAAATTCAAAGGATGCCCGGGGGCAAGTGACGTAACGGGTTGCAAAACAAAGGTCAGATAAAAGGCATGGGCTAAGGGGCCCTGGTGCCAGAGCAGACGGCGTCCTATAAAGACTGTCTTTTACTCTGGAGAAACTAGAGCAGTACACACAGTATTCGGCATTCAGGGATGGGGCCTGAGATTCTGTATTTCCAATGAGCTCCCAGGTGATGCCGAACAGCTGCCATCTGTGGGTCATCTTGAATAGTAAGGGATGAGATGACTCTTAAGAGACAACTCAAGCTGTTCCCTGCAGCAAAAATAAAACGAGTGGGGGGAATGCAGATGTCACAGAGCTGTTTGATGCCGTGGAAAAATGAAGGTGGGGCTTATCATCAAGAAGTCCTTTACGCATCCATGACTTTCTGTCCAACTCATAGGAGACTGGATAAATTACCTTTTCCTTTTTAAAATGAAGAAACTGAAGTGTAAGACGATTGAACACAGCAGGGTCAAAAACATTAGGGGTAGATACAGGTGCCCCACGCCATCCTTGACCCCACACACACTTCCAGAAAACATCAAGCAAGGAGCAGGCAAAGAGCTGTCATAGGAGTGTGGTTGTTTTAATACCATTCTTGCCAAGCAATATCAAAGTTGTCCATATTCTCCAAGTTTGTCCTATTTTTTATAGACAATATTAAAATTTTTTAAGTGTGTGCTGATAAAGAGACTAGTCACACCTCTGGGGATTTAAAAATGAGAAGCCACATAAATTCTCTTCCTTAAAAAACAGCCATTTCAAAAGATTTTCTTTAATATCATAAAATATTTTCATGGACAAGTGAGCTAGCAAACACACATGCACCAATGTGCCTTTTGACAAGAGTACCCCCTACCCCGACTCCCACACCAAAGTGGACATGAGATTGGAGAAATGAATACAGCAGATGGAACAGATAGAAGAAAAAAAAATCAGTAAAAAGGATGGAAGATAACTTTGTGCTTGGTTATTTTCCTATGTCACAACAAAACAAGACATTTCGGTGCAAATAGTTAATCTTTCCTCTTTTTTTCCATTTGGTGGAGAAAAAAATACTTTTTCTATAATAAAATATGTAGTTTTTTGGTTTTCAACGTAACTTTTTTTTTTCTTTTTTGCAGAAAATAATTTTGTAAACTGTCACTTCGCGGGCAGGGAGGCTCGATGCCACGTGGGCCCCAGCTCGCCCCGGTGGAGGCTGGGAGCTGAAACCGAACCTAGGCAGGAGATGGGCGACGGCGGAGGTGCAAGGCAGGGCACGGCGCACGGGACGAGGGCGGCCGGGCAGGGTGGATTAGAGGTCACTCTCGCCGTACAGTGCCGTGGAGAAGGACATGTAGTCCAGAGCACCTGGCACGGAGTCGGGGCCGGTGTAGGGGGCCATCCGCGCGATGCAGTACTCGGCCTGGTCAGGCGGCAGCTCGCGGCGCAGCTCGTCCACGGTAATGTAGTTCTGCGGGGAGAGAGTGGTCAGGGCGGCCGCAAAGTCCAGCAGCCGTAAAGCGGGGTGGCCCAACACAGCCGCAAAGCCCGGCCGCGTGAAGGCAGCGCGTGCCGTTTGCATTATGCCTCCCTCCTGGAACTAGAGGATGTATGGACATAAATATCCACACATGTACATACCGCATACACATGTATTTTTAAAACTGTCTCAGGTTTTCCACTTCAGTACCTACTTTTTAAGCCACTTTCCAATCTAATTCCATGTGCCAATTACACCTATAACCATCTGAATCACACTAGTCTGCAATAATTGCGTGCTGGAGCAGTATCCGCAGATACTCTGGTGGAGCGTATAGGTTCCTGGGGGGACCCCACACGCACTCAGCTGAGCTCTCTGGAGGCTTTGGACAGAGAGTCTAATTTTAATGAGCCCTCCAGCAGATTAAGAATACCATCCACGTTTGGGCATCATTGCTTCCCAAATATGGTCAGGCTATCTTAAGCTCCTTTGCAGAAAGGTGGGCCTTGCCCCATCCAAGCAACTCCAGCCTGGGTATCTGCCTTCTCCCAGGTTTTGCCCATGCTAAGTCTATTTGAAAGCTGTGTCTTTTAGGAGCTTCAAGATCCAGGAGAGCTCATTTGGGGGCTTTGACCCACAAGGTAGTCCCCCTGCACCATGCCCTACCTCTGCCAGAGCTCCCTGGGAACCAGTTTGAGGGAGGGTGGAGCTGCTACTGTCAATCCCAAAGTTGGGAGACGAGGCCCCTATCTCGGCCCCAGTTTTCCTCTTCTACAAAATTAGCAACTAAAACTAAATGGTTTGAGGATCCTTCCAGCTCCAAGGTGCTATGATGCAAATAAGGTTGTTCTTGTACTTAAATCAGACCTTTAGGGACTTCTTTGTAGGTTCAGCCTTTATTCCCTTGTAGACAGACATTTCAGAAATTATACTCCTCCCTACTGGCTTTTGCTTTTGGTAACTGAATCTTTTCCGTTTAAGATGGATTCTCACTCTGTCACCCAAACTGGAGTGCAGTGGTGCGATCTCAGCTCACCGCAACCTCCGCCTCCCAGGTTCAAGCGATTCTCAGGTCTCAGCCTCCCGAGTAGTTGGAATGACAGGTGCATGCCACCACACTCGGCTAATTTTTTGTATTTTTAGTAGAGATGGGGTTTTGCCATGTTGGCCAGGCTGGTCTTGAACTCCTGACCTCAGGTGATCCACCCACCTCGGCCTTCCAAAGGGCTGGAATTACAGGCATGAGCCATCATGCCTGGCCTGAATCTTTTCAGTTTTGAAGGAAGGATGGCATAAGGATTTACTGTGACTTTACAGAACAGAACACAGACCCTAGGCCCACATCCCACCCCCACCATTTCTTCTGGCTGCTCTGTGAGTCTTTTCTATAATATTTGAGGGATCTGTGGCTTCTATAGATCCCCTCAGGTCCCTGGGCTGGAGATGGCTGTGGTTCTGGGTGACATCCAGGTCTACCAATGACCATCTCAGAACAGTGGAGACTTGGACTGAGCCTCTGGCATCCATGGAGACAATCCCCTGCATCCCTCCACTGCCAGGTGGACTGTTGCAGGGTACTTGGGAGACTGGGAAACCCAGAGTGGATCACTGCTCAAGGTAGAAAACACGAGAGACGTGCTTCCTTCTTGTGTCCCACAGTCCCTCTTCCTGCTCCCACTATAGTCCGTGCCAATGCACAGGATGATACCAAGGGTGAAGTCCCAGGGGTTGTCAGATGGACTCCAAGAGTCCAATCACACATCCACACCACTCTACTCCCCTCTGCCACCCGTCATTTCATCCCAGCTATGGAGTCCCTCACTGGCAAGCAGTGATCCTGGGAGGGTCACTTATACTAATCCTGTGTCCTGACACCTTAGCTGAGCCCAAGGCATTACAGAAATGGGTAGAAGTGGCAAACGAGGAGCGGCCAAAGGACCCTGGAAGAAGAGGCGGTTCCAGCTCTCACCCCTCTAGATCACAGTCCAGCCAGTGCCTGCCACCCCAGCACAATGCCCATGCCATAGAACACGCACCTTGTCCCCAGCCAGGATCTTGAAGGAAGCCATGACTTGGTCTGCTGTATCTGTATCGGCTGTCTCGCGGGACATGAAGTCAATGAAGGCCTGGAATGTCACTACCCCCAGGCGGTTGGGGTCCACAATGCTCATGATGCGGGCAAATTCTGCTTCTCCCTGGAGGAAACAGCCAACCCCAGGCCTGTCAGCCCATGGCCTGCTGAGAATATCTCATAGGGACTGAAGACCCTGGGGGCTTAGATCAGCCTGTGGCTGGAAGAGGAGGGCACATCCCCCTGACCTAACCTGGGTTGTCCTAAGGGTATGATGGGGACACAACACCCAAGAGGAGAGACCTAGCTCAGGGTTTCCCATGCCCTGCAGATGCCTGGGTTCCTCTTACAGCAAATAATCATATTGATAATAACTACAGTGATCACAACGATTAACAATGGCTGACACCTATGCAGCATATCTTATATGCCAAGTATTAACCTAAAAGCTTTATTTCAATTCATTTAATCCTTACTACAACCATAAAGGTAGGTATTTTATTATCTTCATTGTACAGATGAGAAATCTGAAGCCCAGACAGGCTAAGTGACTTGCCCAGGGTCACACAGCCAGGAAGCAGCAGAACTGGGATTTGAACTCAGGCAGTCTGGTTCTAGAATCTGTTCTCTCCCCACCACACTGTATTTTCTATGTGCCAGATACATGCACAGACTTAAATTCCTTCATTTAACCCTTGCAACAGTCCTGTAGGGTTCCCTCACTTCACCTGAGGCTACACGCTAATGATGGCAGGGCTGGGATTTACTCCCAGGTTCACTGCTCCTAGCCCCATGCCCATGCCCTGCACTGGGCAGCTTGTGAGCTCTTCACTAGGCACCATGGCCCAGGAGTCACCTGACTGCCCTGCTCAGAATGTCTGTGTGAGGGGGGACAGAATAGGAAGGTTGGGGAGTGGGGAACGGCCTGGGACAATCCAGAGGGGCAGCAGGCCCGACCGGAGCCACCGCCAGGACGGAGGTGGAAGGTCTCAATTTCCATGCTCCATGTGAGGTGACGCAGGCCAACCCCCAACCTGGGACGTCCCACACCACCAGTCCTTCCTGCCAGTCTCAGGGTCAGCCCAGCTGTCCACAGTGGGAGTGAGGAAGTACCAGAAGATGAAGTAGCACAGAGACTGAGACGAGGAGGCCAGGGCTCCTGGATACACACAGGCCGGTGGCCGGGCCGGCTTTCAGGGAGCCATCTTCCCCAAGGACATGGGCCTTGTGGCTCCTCCAGGGAGGGCAATCCCTAGCCTGAGGGCCTCCAGCCTGCCACTCCTGGGACTTGGCCGCTCCCGCCAGCTGGCTGCCTCCTCACCAGGGCAGACAGAGGGTGGGGTTTACGTTACCATGTTGTAACCCATGGAGATCAGGCAGGCGCGGAAATCATCCGTGTCCATCATGCCTGTCTTCTTCTGTGGGGGGCAGTGGTACCAAGACACAAGGAGGGTCGGGAAGGCAGGAAGAGGAAGGGCCGGCCCGGGGCCAGGAAGACAGAAACAGATGGCCAGAGCAGGGATGAGGTTTATGGTTTGGGGGATCAGGATGGGGAAAGGAACATAGGAGGAGAAGATGCGAACACACATGGGTGGCAATGTCCAAAGACAGGAGGAAGACAGAGCAGGGAGATGCAAAAATCCACCCATGGGATGAAGAGCGGTGAGGATGGAAGACAGTGGGCACCCAGCAGGTTGCCACGAAAGACAGCAGAGGGCAGAGGGTGGACCAGTGACAGGGCAGACAGAGACAGCAGGAGAGGACGAGCCCCATGGCCCATAGGACGGGGACAGGAGATCCAGACAGAGAGAAGAGAAAAAGGAAAAACGCATTATTTCTCGCCCCAGACGCCACCCCTGAGCGTGCTCCATGCAGGAGGCGAGTACCTGGGGGTCGTTGCCAATATCATAACCCAAGCTGATGAGGCAGGCTTTGAACTCCTCGGGACCCAGTGTGCCGGAGTGATCCTGGGGCCGCGGTGCGCCAGGCAGCGAGCCATGCGGTGTCAGGGAGGTGGAGCCGTGAGGGGGGCATGCCCCAGGGGAGGGTGGCGTGTGTGGGGAGACACAGGGACAGGCATGCGGAGGGAGGGTGGGGGCGGGGGAGGAGGGGAAATAAAAGTGCACACGGTTAGACACACCAACGAGGCTCCAGGGGGTGCCTCCCCCCAGCACACACAGTCCTGCTCCAGGAAGCAGGACCAGAGTGGGGTGTGACGAGCCACAAGGGTGAGAAGCTCCCCCAGAAGTGACCCAGCCCCCCAGTTTCCCCAGGGACTTCCCCCCAGGTGCCTAGAGAGCCATGAAGCAGGCAGGGGTGGTGGGCAGCACCCAAGAACATGCTCCCACGCCTTGGGACCGCCCGCAAGCCCCAGGGCACTGGGAAGGGGCAGCCCACTAAAACCCGGCCTGACCCAGAGCTGGGATGGGAACCCAGGACCAAGGCCTCTGACATCCCCAGCAGAGTCCCAGAGGCCGCTGGAGGTCGGGGTAGGGGTGGGAGCCAGCAAGGGCAGGAGGAGTCTCTCTTCTGCTCCTCTGTCTCCACAGCCAGGGAGCAGCAAGCCTTCACTGTGGGTGACTCTTCATGGTAGGAGAGCAAGGGTCAGGGGTCAAAGGTCCTCTTTCTACCCACAGTATGAACACTCTCTCCCAGAAAGCAGGGAAGCTTATGAGGCACCAACACAGGTTTTCCAAGGTTGGTTTTGTGGGGTGCATCGAGTCAGGGCAGGCTGATGGCAGTTTCCCCTTTCTCTCCCTCTTCACTTGCATGGCAGCCCACATCCCGGGGAAGTGCCCTCCAGGGCCCTGGGGCAGGGGTTGGGGGCTGCACTAAGAAAACACAGGGTGGGGCTCTCACCCGGTCAAAGTGGTTGAAGGAGGCCCGGAACTCATTCATCTGCTCCTGGCTAATGCCCTTGGCATCCCGGGTCAGGATCTGGTTCTCCACCTCGTTGATGGTCCTGGCGATGGTGGTGAGCAGCTGCTCCCAGCCCACACGGATGTGCTGCAGGCAGGCAAGAGGCCTGTCAGCAAAGGGGTCCCGGGCCTGGGATCCTGGCGGCCCCTATCCACCCTACTCCCCAGCTATCAAAATGGCTAAAGCCATCAAACTTGGCCTTCCATGTGGCTGAGTGTCACCAGAGGGAGGGGAACCAGGACAAGGACAACCTACTAGGGCAGGGACCCTAGATGATCAAGGGGGCAGGGTGGCAGCCTCTGCCTGGGAGAGCAAAGAGACTGGGACTTGCCAATGGGGGTCAGGTCAGGAAGGAGGGCAGATTTGGGGGTAGGAAAGATTGAGACAAAAAAATGTGTGATTCCCTGAACCTCCAACCCCACAACCCCAGCCCACACACACTTTCACAGTTAAAACAACTAGCCATCTTACAAGCAGGTGCCTGAGCCAGTGTTTGGAGCCCGCCAGCACCCGGAACCACCAGAAGTGCTTATTCTGAACTCCACCCCCGAACTAGTGAAGCAAATTCTAGAGACGGGGCCTAGAAATATGTATTCTCAACACGTTCCTCGGGAAAGCAGAAGGTACTAAAAGTTGAAGATGTGAGGCTTCAGAGGTGAAGTGAATTTATCCTCCAACTATGACCTGTTTCCTTGGAGACTTCCCCACCCAGGAGGAAGGACAGAAGGGGACATGTGCTCCCCGAGAGGAACAAGGCCAGCCCCACCCACCTCCATGGTATAGTTGGTGTGCTTGTTGTCGAAGATGAGCGCCTCCTGGATGAGCTGGTGGTCGCCCTCCAGCTGATCAATCTTTGGCTTGTAGTTGACAATGCTCTTCTCATACTGCCGCAGGTGGCTGAGCTGGTCCTCCAGGGTCCCGTGCATCTCAATGGAGATCCTCCCAATCTCCTGCTCACCGGCAAAGAGGCACCTTGTCAGACCACCTCACTCTGCTCCCATAGGGTGGGGACTGGGGCCTCCAAAATCATTTGTTAAGCCTTCAAATGATTCTCAGTTCCTATCCCAGCCCTAAGGAGGCCATCACTGGTAATTAGTAAGACACTTTTAGCATGGGTGCTCCTAGGTATGGAAACAGCACCACAGAGGTATATAACAAGCACTGTTATCACTGGATGAAATACCTACCAGCTCTCAGGTACCTGTCAGCCTCAGGAAGGGAATGCAGGGTCAGTTCTAACCTAAACATTCACTCCTCTGCTTGCCATTCAAATGCCCCTTTCCCAAGTCTTGTCCATCTCAGGGACCCACTGAGCCAGGATCCTTGTAGCCTCGGCAGACCTCACTCACCTCCCTCAGTGCCCATGCTCTTGCTCCTGCTGTTCCGCCTCCTGGGATGCCTGCCCTGGCTCACCTGAATCCCATCCATCCCTGCAGGCCAGGCCTAATGCCCATTTCTCTCTGTTATTCATCCATGTAAACAACCCTTGTTTGTGAAAGCACTTTCTGTCCACTCAATTCAATCCAGTAGCTATTTCCTGCCTGTCTACTAAGGACAATGTGCTGGCAGGGGGGCGGGGGGCGACACACACAAGTGTGAACTCAACATGGTCTCTGCCCTTAAGGAACTCAGAGGCCACGCTCTAGCCAAGCAGGGCCCCTTTCCTGATCTGCTAAAGCACCCCACTATCTACCCCACACAATTCAGCAAAACATTCTGTGCTCCACTGGGTTCAGTTCTCTTTCTGGGATGATCAATCATCTTCTTTGGCCAGGCTCATTGCTCAGGAGGAGGAGGAGAGGAAGGGGAGGCCTGGTCAACAAGAGACACCAAAGGAATTAAGCTGGATCAGGTGCTCAGGAGCTGACTCTCCTATGGGACTTTCACAGGTAGCTTCTTCTTTTTTTTTTTTGGCGATGGAGTCTCGCTCTGTTGCCCAGGCTGCAGTGCAATGGCACAATCTTGGCTCACTGCAACCTCTGCCTACCAGGTTCAAGTGATTTTCCTGCCTCAGGCTCCCAAGTAGCTGGGATTACAGGCACACATCACCACACCTGGCTGATTTTTGTATTTTTAGTAGAGACGGTGTTTCACCATGTTGGCCAGGCTGCTCTTGAACTCCTGACCTCAGGTGATCCACCTGCCTTGGCCTCCCAAAGTGCTGGGATTACAGGCGTGAGCCCATAGGCAGCTTCTTAGTGGTGTCCTCATATGTCTTTGCTCCCAAATCAGATAGTGCCAGCAGGGCTTCCTCACATAGACCCCCACAGCCTTCTATAGGAGAGCAGACCCACGATGCGCTCAGGGCCTCAGTCCTCCATGGGTCCCACCGAGGGAGACAGGCAGCCTGGCTGGCTGGGATAGTGTGGGGAGGGGTGGGAGCCCCAGCACTGCTTCCCAGCATGGGACCCACCTCCATCTTGGTCTGGATCCAGGGCCCGATGACATTGGCCTGTGCCCCAAACTGCTTGCGTAGCCTCTCATTGTGCTGCTGTCGGGCGTGCTCCTCCGTCAGAGCTTGGTCCCTCCGAGGCACCAGCTGCCGCACCTGGGGCAGGAATAACAAGGCGACTTTGGGGACAGGTCAGCCATCTGCCCATGTGCCAGATGAGGAAATGGAGGACCCAGGAGGCGAAGGGCCGGTCAGTAACAGAACAGGAGTGAAGGCGTCAACCTGTTCTGGAAATCCAGTCATTTGACATTTGGACAAACAATGAGTGTTTACTATATGACAATTTTAAATGAAATTGATAAAAATCAATTAAAATGGACAAAAATCCCTGCCTTTATGAAACTTACAATGGCTCGGCCCATGCCCTTCAACTCACGTGGTCCCATTTGCCATTGATCTCCTGAGGCGTGATGGTTGTGTAGGGGTTGGTGCCCGCCATATTGACGTGGTAGGTCTGGACAATCTTGGACACCTCGTTGTGGATGCCCAGGATAGCCAGACGCTCCTTATCAGCATCAGGGAGGGTGGCCTTGAACTGCTCATGGGCTGTGGTCAGTCCCTGGACAGAGATGGGAATATATGGGTAAGAGGAACAAAGGGAGCGCTAGAAGTGAGTGGAAGGGCCATGGAAGTTGAGTTCCACACCAGCTGGGAGACCAGGAGGCATCAATTCAAAGATTCTTGTGGCTGAGAACTGGGATGGTAGGTATGGCCACAGGAAGGAGAAGCCACAGTCATCAAAAGCAACAGTTTCATCCTTGGGGCTGGTGAAATTAACAGCAACCCCTCTGGCGTGTTCACCACCTGACAGGTCAAGGAGAAGGGCTGCTCCAGAGGCTCACTCCCCAGATGACCTCCCACAACGTGGACTTCCTTAGCTCCTGGCAAAACCTTTTAAATCCAGTACTCTGCAGCTGCATGAAAGATTGAGGAAGCTGCTAATTGATGTGAAATGAGCTCCAAATAAATGTTACATTAAAAATCAAGGTTCACGGCTGAGCACAGTGACTCATGCCTGTAATCCCAGCACTTTGGAAGGCTGAAATGGGAGGATCTCTTGAAGCCAGGAGTTCGAGACCAGCCTGGGCAACAAAGAAAAACCCCATTTCCACAAAAATAAAAATTAAAAAATTAGCCAGGCATAGTGATGTGAGCCTGTAGTCCCAGCTACTAGGGAGGCTGCAGCAGGAGGATCCCTTAAGCCCAGGAGTTGGAGGCTGTAGTGAGCTATGATCCCACCACTGCATTCCAGCCTGGGTGACAGAGTGAGACCTTGTCTCTAAAAAAATAAAATAAATAAGGCCGGGTGCAGTGGCTCAAGCCTGTAATCCCAGCACTTTGGGAGGCTGAGACGGGCAGATCACGAGGTCAGGAGATCGAGACCATCCTGGCTAACCCGGTGAAACCCCGTTCCTACTAAAAAATACAAAAAACTAGCCGGGCAAGGTGGTGGGCGCCTATAGTCCCACCTACTCGGGAGGCTGAGGCAGGAGAATGGCGTAAACCCGGGAGGCGGAGCTTGCAGTGAGCTGAGATCCGGCCACTGCACTCCAGCCCCCTGGGTGACAGAGCGAGACTCTGTCTCAAAAAAAAAATAAATAAATAAAAATAAAATAAAATAAAATAAATAAAAATCAAGGTTTAGAATATGGTATATAATAAAAGCTACTTTTTGTTTTATACAAAAAGGGTGCAAAGCATGGAAACAAACATACTTGCTTGTGTGCAGAGACTGTAGTCAAATTCTTACCTTTGGGGAGAGAACTAGGGACTGGAGGATAAGGAGTCAGAGGGAGACCCTATCATACACCCTTTTTAATTTTTTTTTAATTTTAGACCATGCACATATATTATCTTGTCAAAATAAGTCAAATGCAAAGGTTTTGCGTCTATAAAATCCTTGGGATGCTCTTCCTCAGGGACAGTCCTGCAAAAGTGACCCACAGAGCATGGGCCAGGGGCCCCAAGGGATCCAGCCTCTGGGGAGTGGGGTGGGGCTCACCTGGATCTCCTCAATGGTGTGCACAATGAAGGTGTCCTGCAGGTCCTCCATGGCCCCCTCCATCCAGTTGTTGAAGGGTGCGGCCCTCTTGGCATACTCCAAGTACAGCTGGTCAATGGTCTCCAGCAGTTTCTCGGTCCGCTGGGAGTACCAAATAGGGTGGGGGTTAGTACAGTGATGTCCAGAATCATCCCCCACTCCTATCGAGATCCTTCTGGTGAGCCCCAGGTCTAGAAGCACTGCCTGAATCAGGCAGAAAGAACAAGCTCTTCCTGCCAGGTGTCTGAACCATCTCACATCGCAGTCACCTGGCCTGGCTCCCAGAGTCTGGTGTGTAGAATAGGAGGGTTCTCAAATGGCTAGGGTTGGGCTGTAAAGCACACTAAACTGGGAGGATGAGACAAGTGAGGGCAAGAGAGGAGGCATCGCCATGAGGGCAAAGTCCAAATCCTGTGCCAAAGTAAATCTTCCACATTTAGGCCAGGGTTGGGGGAGGTCTGGGGAACCCATAGTCTTTTAGCCCAAAGCAAAGAGAGTCAAGAGGCAGGAAGGGGCACCTCAGGACTGCTGGATATGGGCCTAGTTCTCCCTCTGGGACCCCTCACCTCCAGAGCTTCCCTTCGCTTCTGAGTTAGGGCCCCCAGATTGTCCCACTGGTCACAGATCTTTTGGCAACGGGCGTTGACACTGGGTGAGTCATAATAGTCCAGCTCACTGGGGAGGGAAGAGACAAGGAAGTTGGGGGACCCAGGTTAATTTCATGGCCCATCTCCCTCTCCCTGAGGCTGCCAGTGGGGTGGCTGGTGGTGCTGGGGAGAGCCAGGGGCACTCCCTTCAAGAGACCTTCCAGGTACTCCTTCCACCCCCTCCCCTCTTTCAGGAGATTCGCAGAGAGGAGACCACAGAAGACCCCTTCCCCAATCAGGGTTGGAGGTGACACCAGCCTTCACCCCAATGGCCAATGGCAGGGAGCCCTCAAGGCCCAACCAGAAAGCTCGGAACCAAGGCTTGGTCACCCTCTGCTCCTGTACTAGCTACAGGTGAGAACTGGTGGCCTTTAACAGGAAGGCAGTGGTCCCGGGCTTCTTCCCCACCAGGAGAGAGATTTATTTTCTGCGTTGACTCCCTTCCCACCTGGGCACCCACCTGTGCCCACCCTCCCCACCTTCCATGGCCACACCCCCACCTCCCCCAGCAGCTGAGAAAGCCCAGCCTTGGCCCCTCACCACAGGGCACTACAGGCTAGGGGTATCTGGGGCCACCTACTTGAGTTCCTGTGCGATGGCGGCAATCTGCTCCACGCGGTCCTGGTGGGCAGCCAGGTCACTCTCGAAGGCCTCATGCTTCTTGAGCAGGGCCTTGATCTCCGAGAGGGTGGCCGTCTCATAGTCCTTCTGTCGCAGCATGGCCTCTTTGCCTGGATTGAGAGAGGGCCACACGGCTGAGCAAGAGTGAGAAGCATCTCCTTGGTCCCAACCGCCCACCCCTCAGGGCCCCAGGAGCTCCACTTCCGGGGGTGCTTCCCACAGAGGTGCCCATTGTGTAGGGATCTGCAGTATACAAAAGCAGATGTGCAACTAGAACATCCAACCATGGGCGCAACGGGGAAAAGCACTGCTCTCCTCAGAGCACTTCCAAGGCCATGAAAGTGTCTACGTAGGAAGGCTATGCAGAAGTCTGTGGGAACGCATAGGGCATGACACTATACACACAACAGGAAACACAACAGGAAACAGCCATCCACACCCTCTGGTATAACCAGGAAAAAAACAACCCAAGCACCTCAGGGGCACCCTGCCTTTAGAATGTCCCCAGTTACTGTCACTGGCTGCCGGCAGCCCTGCAGGGGCCCCTTCCCTGGGTTGGTGTGTCCAGCGCACTCTGTACAGAATTCGACAGTGGCTAGTGCCTTCTCTGACCCTCAGACACACTGTCCTCTCTTTACAGGGCATGAGCAGGTCTTGCGTTTCTTAAATTTGTTTCCACAGGAGGAAAGCAGGAACAAGAAATGACCTCCTACAGTCATTGTTAGACGATGCTCACCAGCTGCCTTGTGAAGTTGACAGGTACCGGACGGGGGCTGGCCCGGCCTCCCTCACTCACACACCCAACCCTCTGCTGCTGGGATGCTCAGCCTGTCTCAAAAAATAAGACTGGGCTGGGAGCCAAGGCTGTGTCCCCAGGTGGCATTTCTTTCCGGCCTCCTGCTCTTTCTTCTTTAAAACAGAATGGTAATACATCAAGTTTAGAAAAAATTATAGGTAAGCCTACTTATCCACTCCTATTCAGTCTTTCCTTATGTGGATATTCTGTGAACGCTTTGGGCATATATAAATTATGTTTCCTGCTTTTAAAATATTTAGCAGCACATTGGTCGGGCGTGGTGGCTCACGCCTGTAATCCCAGCACTTTGGGAGGCTGAGGCGGGCAGATCACGAGGTCATCAGGAGATCGAGACCATCCTGACCAACATGGTGAAACCCCATGTCTATTAAAAATATAAAAATTAGCTGGGCATGGTGGCACACGCCTGTAATCCCAGCTACCTGGGAGGCTGAGGCAGGAGAATCGCTTGAACCAGGGAGTTGGAGGTTGCAGTGAGCCAAGATCGTGCCACTGCACTCCAGCCTGGGTGACAGAGCGAGACTCTGTCTCAAAAAAAAAAAAAAAATTAGCAGCACATTATTGGAATTTCTATCCTGGCTCCACAGTCTTCTCATGCAGACGTCTGCTGAAAGGCTGCACGTCCACTGCCCTAACCCTTCACTGTCCTACTGTGGGGTGCTGGGCCCCTCGGCTTGCCCTAGTGCGGATGTCTCCATGTTCAGGATGGATTCTTTAGACAGTCTCAAGAAATGGAATTCCCAGGTTAGAGTGTAGTAAACTTGGTAGACGTGAATACATGTAGCCAAACTGCTTTCCCCAGAGGCTGTGCCAGCATGCCAGCACTTCTCGTGCCCCTGCTGGTGGCTGGCAAGCCGACAAGGTCAATCTTTGCTCTGTACCTTGGCTGTGAGCTGGACCCGATAGAAGCAGGTGATGAATCAGTGCAATCCCCACTATCCTTCCTCCACTCTGCCCTGTCCACGCCTGGATAAATAACTCCACACACACACAGTGGAAGTGGGGGCAGCAACCTCTTACCATTGTGTGCAAAGCCCAGCATTTTACTTACAAAGGGGAACTAGACCAAACCCCCCTTAGCCAGTCAAGCACACTCCATCCCTACACCAGGGGTCCCCACCCGCCGGGCCATAGACTGGTACCAGTTCATGGCCTGTTACGAACTGGGCCAAACAGCAGGAGGTGAGCCAGCAGGTGGGTGAGCATTACCACCTGAGCTCCGCCTCCTGTTGAGTCAGGGGCAGCATTAGATTCTCACAGGAGCTCAAACTCTATTGTGAACTGCGCATGCGAGGGATCTAGGTTGTGTGCTCCTTATGAGAATCTAATGCCTGATGATCTGAAGTAGAACAGCCATCCTGAAAGCATCTGCCTCCTCCCCACTCCGTGGAAAAACTGTCTTCCATGAAACTGGTCCCTGGTGCCAACAAGGCTGGGGACCGCTGCCCTACACCAAGCCAAGCCACTCCCAAATGGCCTTGGGGTATGGTTCTTCCTTCTCATCTCCAACCTAAGGTCTGAGGAGTACAAAACAGGGCTGAATGGGGGAGTCTTAGGGCACTGAGCTCCGCCGGCCAATGGGTCTGCCCCAGACTCCAGCTGAAATGGCCAGAGGGGCCCCAGCAGATGGGCAGCCTGTTCCCCACCTCCAGCCATGGTCCAGGTTCTGGGGAAACACTATCCTAGGTATGATCCTCTCTCTTCAGAGTTCACCTTAGCTGCCAATAAGCAGACACCAGACACGTCCCCAAGAGCCTCAAGGTTGGAGTAACAGGGACACACATGTGCTAAGGCAAAGGCCGGTTCATTGTAATTGGAGGCCAGGAAATACAGGAAAAAGAACTGAACAGATGAAAACCATAAACATGAAATGTACTATAATACTGAAGCCTCACAACAACCCTATGAGGAGGCTGAATTAGGTTGAATGGGGTCCCCCATAAAACTCATGTCAACCCAGAACCTCAAGATGGAACCTTATTCGGAAATAGGGTCTTTGCAGACACAATTCCTTAAGATGGCATTATACGGCTGGGTGCAGTGGCTCACGTCTGTAATCCCAACACTTCAGGAGGCAGAAGCAGGTGGATCACCTGAGATCAGGAGTTCAAAACCAGCCTGACCAACAGGGTGAAACTAAAAACACAAAAATTAGCTGGGCATGGTGGCAGGCCCTGTAGTCCCAGCTACTAGGGAGGCTGGGGCAGGAGAATTGCTTGAACCTGGGAAGCAGAGGTTGCGGTGAGCCGAGATTCCGCCATTGCACTCGATGCTGGGCAACAAGAGCAAAATTCCGTCTCAAAAAACCCCCCCAAAAAACAAAAAACCAAAGTGAACACTCAGGTGGTAGAGCATTTGACTGCAAGGTGAACATTCACACAGCACTGCACTATGCAGGAACTCCCCTCAGAACTTCGTTATGTATTAACTGATTAAATTCTTATAAGCCTGTGAGGTTGGTACTATTATTATCCCCACTTTACAGATGAGGAAGCTGAGGCAACCAGAAGGCTAATGAACTTGCCTAATGCCATGGAACTAGTAAGAGACCAAATGAAACAAACGAAAAGCAAAGAATAGCGTAGTGGCTGCCGGCTGGGCTGGAGAGTAGGAAAGTGAAGCCCTGGGGAGGCAGGAGGCTGGGTTGGCCTCACCGTCAGTCCAGGCCTCGTGGATGGAGGCCTTCTGCCGGAACTTCTCTGCCAGGTGGTCCAGTCGCTCCAGCCTCCGGATCTCGTTCAGCAACCACTCCTCATAGCCCTTCTCCACCTGCTCCAGGCAGCCCCAGGCATTGTTGATGTCCTGTGGGGATGGGAGGTACAGGGTCAGGATCTGCCTCGGGCCTAGGCTTCAGGTCCCCTGGCCCCCTAGACCCCTGAAGGTGCCCCATGCCTTCCAGGAAGAGCCTCTTCCCTATCTCTGCCCCATATCCACCCCAGCCAGGCTGCCCCACCCTACCTCCCATCTCCCACTGGTATTTTCTGGGCTCCCAGGAGCCAGGCCTCCTGGGCAAGGCGTGGGACCTGCGTCTACATTGGTCACCCAGCTATGGGACTTTGAGAATAGAGCCCTGTGGGGAAACGGCCCCAGCTCTCCCTGACTAGGATTGGTTTCCCACAGGACTCTATCCAATCACAGGGGCCACACATGTGCTAAGGCAAAGGGCCCCCCCAGGTAAACAGACCAACAATGAATGAGGCAAGCAGGCACTGGAGCTGCCCAGCCTCCCCACGGTCCTGGATCCATTCATGGACTCAGGCCTCTGGGCAGTAGCCTGGGGCCTACAGAGACCCTGGCCTGGGTGAGCCGGCCAGAATTCTGGGAGGACAGATGCCAAGTGCCAACCCACACCCCCCTTCAGACAGGGCCATGCCTCCAGTTTGTGCAAGGGTACCCAGCTGGGCAGTCGCTGGGGTTGCACCCTGCAAGCCACCCTCCCCATCACATGTCCCCAGGCCAAGCTACATCTGTCCCCCAGAAAGGGTACTTTGTCTAATTCTCATAGAGCACCCTTAGGCTAGCAGTGGCTCTGGCCACCTAAAAGCCACTGATTCAGCCTTGGAGCCCCGAAATGACGGCAACTTTCCAAACTGCAGACACACTTGCAATGTATTCTCCCTCCACTACCCCCTGGGTTGCTCTGCCCACAATGCTGTTTGCCTTTCACCCTCCCCTTCTAGACCTGTCGTGTGCCCGGGACGCTCCTATTACTTTTCACTTAAGGACAAAAAGCTCCGTCATGGCAAATTTCTTATTTTCTTCTGAGTGTTTCTCTGGCTTATACAATTTTTCCCTAAGTTGTGGGGACAATGTCAAGGGGGATGAATAACAAAAATAACCTAAAAGAAGAGTATTTTATGACATGGAAAGCTGGTCAGAATACAATGTAAGATTGGAGTTTTTTTTTTTTTTTAAAGCAGCTTATTATATAAAACATGCTTTAGTTATCTGTCAGTGCACACTTGAGTACAAAAATGGGGAAAAATGTTTAATTTCAAATACATACGCTTTAGGATTCCCTCAAATATTTACATGAAAAAACCAAAAAGATTAAAATCATTTTTTTAAAGTTGATACTAGGTAGTAAGATCTTCAGTAATTTCTCTGTTCTGTATTTTGCTTATTTGTATCTTTGAAATATACTACCCAAAAAACCCACGAAACTATTACTTAAGTAATAATATTTTTTAACTACTTAAGATTCCATGTAAGTAGAAATCAACTTGACTGTGATTCAATTATGCCGTGTTTTGTTCAGGGTATCAAAAAGCATTGTGTTCACAGGGATGATTTTTTGTGAAAGGGAGGTCTGGAGTAGATGCTCAGGGGTCTGGAAGGGCAAGCCTGACCCAGAATGGTGTGGGCAGAGGGGGCCGCCCCACATGGCCGAGTTCGGGTTTGTGCCTGGGTGATAACGGGAAGGGGGATGTGACTTCTGGAGCAGTGTATGTAGGCAGAAGCAAACACACCCATCCCCACCCCCATAAAGCTGACTTTGACCACGACTAGGAGCAGCTCAGAGGTGGAGGCAGTCCAGTTTAGCGGCCCAGGCTCACCCCCAGTGCTCACCGAGACCATCCTGCCCTCGGAGGGCATGAAGGCAGGCCGGTTGCTGAGCCGCAGCTTGGTCTGCAGCGTGTTGAAGTTGATCTCCAGCTGGCACTTCTCCTGCACCTTGGGCGGCTTGTGCAGGCGCCGGTAGTCCCGGAAGTCCTCCAGCTTCTGCTGCATGGCATGCATAGTGTTCTCGGGCACCCGGTTCTCCAGCCACGGGATGGTGCGGCGGATCCACTCCAACAGCTAGGGCAGGAAGGCGGTGGGGGCAGGAGGTGAGGACGTGGGGAGGGAGTGTGCTAGAGCCAGCCTCCCTCTCCTCCCAGTCCTTCCCGCAAGGGGAAGGGGTCTCTCCTGGTAGCACACTCCTTCCCAACTACCGACATTCCCAGGCCATGAAGCCAGCTTCCAGGGTGTTCCCTTTGAGAACCACAGGCTTCGTGAAGCCTGGCTACTAGAGTACATCGACTCACAGTCACATCACTCAACCTCCCTGCTTTGCTAAGGGAAGACCCATAGACCTGGTGTGAAAATAGTGCAACTAAAAGGCAGGAAGGAAACCTGGGTTTTAGTACCAGGTTCTAACTGGCTTGGCCTCAGTTTCCTCATCTATACCATGGAGGGGGTTAATAGCTGTTTCCAGAAGTTCTTGCCATCTGACTTCCTAGGAATCTAGAATGTGGGTCTCTGACTTAAAAGGGAAGAGGCTGGCTTCTGGGCAGAGAGCTGGCCTGGAGCACAAGCAGGCACGGCCTGGACTGTTTTCCTTGAGCCAAGGTGATGGTGGTGGAGAAGGTGGAGGGGTGCACATGACAATAGGAATACACTGAACACCTGCAGGGGGCCAGGCACATCACACACATGGACTCATCTGAATCATCACAGAAACACTACGAAGCTAAGGGCTGTGGTCATCTGCATGTTACAGAGGAGGCACCCAAGGCCCTGCCAGGTCCTGGAACTTGCCAAGGTGACCTGGCTGGAATGGCAGAAATTTAAACCCAGGTACTTGGGCTCCAGAACCTGGGTTCTTACTATGCTGGGCAGCAGATCCCCCAAGAGCCTGGGTTGAGCAGCTCAAAGGGCTGAATTCTTTCAAGAAAAGGAGGCTTAACCCAAATGTAACCAATGGCAGAACAGGAAACCCAGCACTGCGTGATCCTGTCCCCTGAAAAGTAGGGGACAGCCGCTATGTTTGGTAGCTGCTATGCTAGCCTGAGCCAGCACTAATTTACCAAAAGCCCTACCCTCACCCTCTTACAACCAGATGCGCTCCTTCTCTCATTGAAGAAAAACTCACAGACTAAAAGTACACCAGGCTGGAAAGGGCTCTGACATCCCCTGGCTCAACTCTCACTTGACAAGTGAAAAAAACAAGACCCTGAGAGGCAAAGGGATATCCTAGGCTCATGATGACTCAGGGACCGGCCTCTGCCCCCACCTCACTACTTTCTGGGAGAGCCACAACAGAGCTCAGGCTGCCCTGGACTAGCTATATTGGGATCAGAGACTATACCAGCCTGGGACTATGCTCCAAGGAAAGATTTGGAGGTACACGTTCTAGGGGACTGACTCTTGCTAGAGACAGGCCAGGTGAACCCAGGGGGTACCCACATCACTGGCCAGCTTCTCGTAGTCTTCCATAAGCTGCTCGTTCTCCTGGTTGACGGCCAACACCTTGCAGATGCGATTGGCTGCTGTCTCCGCCTGGCAACAAGACAGAGAGAGTCACGACCAGCCAGCCCCAGCAGCAGGGGCACCTGGTACACACCTGTGCTGACAGAGCCCCTCCCATCCCTGCAGCTCCCTGTGATTGGAAGGGGGTTAAGAAGGCTGTGAGGCCACATTCCTCCTCTCTCCTTACCATCCTCCTTGCCAGCCCATGGCCAGGTCCCATGGGTCAGGTGAGCCTGGACAGAGGTCTTGGTGGCTGAACTGGGCCCCTGGAGAACAGCCTGAGTTTAAGGCCCAACCTGCAGGTTGGGAAGAAACTAATCCAATGACTGATACAATCAAAATGCTCAGGTCAGGCAGAGAGGTGAGAAAATTCATGCCCATCCTGGAATTTCAAGTGGAGGCACTGGAATTCCAAGGCTTAGGGCCTCTGGCTGGATTTTCCAGGATCTTAGAGATGTGGGAATTCAAATCTGGGAGTCCTGGGATAAAGTGCTGACTGAGAAATCGTGGGACCTCTCGGGATCCCTGCAGAATCTCCCAAGACTCTTGGCCCAAAGCCTGAAGCACTTTAGAGAAAACTGAGGGACCCCTCTACTGCACCCAAGTCCAGACTTCCAGATCAACCAAGTATGGACACAATGCCCAGCAAGCCCAGCGCAGGCCCCTCTGGGACAGCTAAGCACACATCACGTGCTGTGTGCCGGGCTAGCAGGGACCCAAGACAGGCCTCAGCAGCAAAGGGAAGCGAAGGGAAAGGGACTGAATGGCAACCCAGGCAAAGACCAAGAAACCTTAGTGGGAGAGCGCCTTCTGCAGCTGTGGGGGCTACTGTACCCCTAACACCAGCAGGGACCCAGCATTCCTGAGTCCACTTCAAACAGGTGGTTTTAAAATCCAGCGGTGTTCTTGCATACATTCCAACCTTACGCCAAGGGAGAAGTGAACTCAAAGCCTTTTGGGGACCAGAGGGTAGAAAGGAAGACAGCCTGGGGGTGGGAGAAGCTAGTATCTCCTGGGACCCTGGAGAAGGGTGTCCTGCAGATGAAAAATGATCCCTGGATTAACGGGTTGAAAGACAGGACCTCACAACTGGTTGATGAACACAACGAAACAGGTTTCAACTGTAGCAGGATGAACTGAGGCTGGTCGTAAGGAAGAACTTCCTGAGAATGAGTGTGCTTAGAATTGGAAGGAATGACTAAGATGGAAGATGGAAATGTTTTTTCCTTGAAGAACTTCTCGAATAAGACATCCACCCACCAAATCATGTGCTTTGTGGATGACTGTGCGGGGGTGTGTGGGGCAGGGGATAAGGGGCAAAATGAGATCATCCTAAAGGCCCTGTCAGAAACAGTCAGGGAGGTCAAGGCAGGCACGCCCTGCAGAGTAAGGTGTCAGAGTGGGTTGGGAGAAGCAATAAGGAGAAGGTGGGAGTGGCCAGAGGGTGGTCTAAGAGTCCCCTGAGGTGGGGACTTTGAGTCCTGGGCCTCAAGAAACTGAGACAGGGAGTCACATCCTTAGGCCCTCACCCCCTACCCCCAACTCAACCCTATCCTGGAGATGCCATGGCTGCTTCTCATCCACAACTCCTGACTGATCGCCATTTCTCTCGAGAACCAACAAGCACCCATGGGGAATCCCAAGAAGCAATGAGGAGGGAAATGCTTTTCCTCAAGCCTGCCCAGGAGACGTGGAGCCCCAGAAAGCAAGCGGGGCCACAGGAACCAGGCCAGCAGCCTCATGGGGCTGGCTGGGGAGCAACTTGCTGGAAGCCCCAGACTACTTCCCTTGAAGGCTGGGGCAGGGGGCTGTGGAGAGACCCGTGTGTCCTCCTCCAGGCTGATGTTTTGGTGAGGATGTGCCACCCCTGCAGACTATGCCAGAGATGTGCCACTCAAACAGCTGAAACTCCTTGGCAGCTACTCATCACTGGCACGAAGCAATTGTAGCTGTGATTTTCTTGGATAAAGCCACCTTCACTTTGTTACTCTCCTGATCCATCAGCTCAAGGGTCATAAACTCTGATGTGTGCCAATTTATCAAACTGGTGGACCGAGGTCTGCATTCATGGGATTTTACATGTGTCCTGTGGGATCGCAAGAGCCTCGCCCATCCCTAAGAGCCTGCTGACTACTCCAGGGTCAGGGTCAGGGTCAGAAGCGCTCCCTTCTGGATGAAGTCTGGGGGAGATTCCGGGCGGGCCTCCTGGGGACTTTCCACAAAGATCCAACCGCGTTCCCAAGCCCGAGTCTCAGCCACCTGCTCCCAGGCTGGCCTCTCCGGAAGGAGACTGACTGAGAATACCATCCATTATAACCCGTGAATCAGCCTTCAGAAATAACACACAAGTACCACGGGAGACATGAGAGCGCTTTCTGTATGGCAGGCCAGCCTGCAGACTCCAGCGGGGCTCCCTTGAGGGACAGCCCAGCTCCTGCAGCACCTCTAGAAAGCAGGTTCCTGAAGTCCAGATTTGATTTTTCTAAAAAAAAAAAAAAACCAAAAACCACGGCAGAATCCTCAGAACCTCATCCTTTCCCTTTCTCTCGCAGCCTGACTCCCCCAACAGGCAGGCTGCACCCCAGAGAAGCCCACTGGGTGGTGAGTTGGACCTGCTTCCACAGTGGTCCCTTGATGAAAGCAGCTTCATCACCCACCAGCCTCAGTCTGAGAAGTAAGATGAGGTCAGCTGGGAAGGCCAGTCTTAGTCAGGCCCACGGGACATGGTCCCGGGAGCAGGAGAAAAGCCTGTTAGGGATGACAGGCCTTCCCCATCACCTCAAATTCCTGGTTTTCCAGCGTTTTCCTCTCATGGCTACAAGAACCCCATGAACTCTCAGGGATCTAGGAGAGAGGCACCCAGAGCCACCAAGTACATAAAGAATCTCAAAGACGCTTTAGTCCAGAAGTTCAAAGGAGAGATTTGTTCTAGGGGAGGAAAGATTCCTTCCCTGAGAACCTCAGGAACTGAAGCAGCTTCAGAAGCAACTTCAGAAGAGAACCCCGGGAGAGCCCTGGCTTCAGGCTATTCCTGAAGAGGAGATGGGCCTCTCTGGACCCCAGCAAGAAGAACCAGGCGCCCTGACATGAGACAATGTAACAGATGCAACAGATAATTGATGGGTTCAGAAAAGATTCTCTGGAAATGAGCAAAATGTTGCTTCCAAGTGCCAAAGGAAAAGACTACTAGAAATCTGTGTTTCCTTTCCCTTAGTTGGTATTTTCATGGTCGTTTTGGTTTGTTTTATTTTGTTTGTTTTTTGAGACAGAGTCTTGCTCTGTCACCCAGGCTGGAGCGCGATGGCACAATCTTGGCTCACTGCAACCTCCGCCTCCAGGGTTCAAGCCATTCTCCTGCCTCAGCCTCCTGAGTAGCTGGGATTACAGGTGCGTGCCACCAGATCTGGTTAATTTCTGTATTTTCAGTAGAGATGGGGTTTCGCCGTGTTGGCCAAGCTGGTCTCAAATTCCTGACCTCAGGTGATCCACCAGCCTCAACTCCCAAAGTGCTGGGATTACAGGTGTGAGCCAATGCGCCCAACCCGAATTTTCATGTTTTTTTGTGGCCTACTTTAGGCTGTGCTATTATACAACTTAACATACAATACATTTTGTTGTATATTCGAGTTATTTTTTAAAAGATATGAACTGTTATTATCCCCGAGTACTTAGCTATCCCAAGCCAAACTGCTACCCTAATAGTCAGCATCTGATTGCCTGATACAGGCACAGTCTAGAGAGGAACTGTCTTCAAGGTGACATCAAAACACCCAAACATGGCCAGATGATGTGCTGTGGCTCTGCCACCCACAACCCACAGATTCACATGAATGCTACGAGGATCTCATCTATGTCATCTTTAGCCAAAACGTTCCCAAATCTAGCTGGACCTGCTTTTTTCTTCTTCCCACAGCTGTCCACTGCCAGTCTTTCCCTCTGTCCTGAGTCAGCCACCAAGCCCAGGGTTCCTGCTAAGAGAGCTCCAGATCAGCAGGGATCTCAGACCAGGCATCCGAGCTTCCTTGTGGTGAGTGGGCCAGGGTGGGTGACCAGGCAGAGGGGAACTGGCCCCTTTCCTCAGGCAGCCCACACCTTGCCAGCTTCCTCTCCTGCCGCAGGCTCCGCCTGCACACCCCGAAGCTTCTTGCACAAGCTGTGGTCACCTCCCTCCACAACACTGCCTGCCCCTTCCTGAGGCCTTGCTAAGCGTTCCCCCTACAGACCCTCATGTTCAAGTTTCTGCTACTCAAGACAACCTTGGTGGCGGGCAGTCCTGTGACTGTACCTGCCCTGCTCAGATCTGGGGCAGAGCAAGGCACAGGTCAGACTGCAGCCACTGCTGGCTCTTTTTTTTTAGGGTTTTCCCAGATGGCTCATGAATTTCTCTCAGATTGAGTGCATGCCTTCAAGTGTTCTTTCTCAGAAACAGCAGACCATGAACTCTAAAACACGAGCTACATCAACAAAATCTTAATGCTCTCCACCCATTCTAAGTCCCTGTAAGGGAAAAGGAGGGGAGAGGGAAGCAGAGAAAGAATTAGAACCAAAACCCACCTGTCAAACAGCAGTTGGTCCTCATCTAATGAGGGAAATCAGTACACAGACTTATACAGCGCGGGCCTGTACAGGCACACAAGCCGTGCACCACACGTGCACACACACATTAGGCGCTGTTGCCTTTTCATTCCACTGTACAAGTTTGGGTGACAGAAAGACAGTGGAGAGGATGGAGGGCACTGGGCACGGGTTTTGGAAGATTTTCCCCATTGGTGCCAGCCCGGAGACAGACAAGACAGGAGTGTGTGAGTCAGGAAGAGTCCTTCCTCTCCATCAGCCCCACCACACATGGCAAGGTGGGGTTCCCCTCCCCTGCCTGCTCAGCTCGAAGCAGTCGCCTTAGACGTGGTGGGGGCAACTCTGGGTCAGACCCCTGACCAGGACATGAGAGGACAACCACCACCACCACCAACCCAGCTGTGACCTTGCCCTCAGGTGTGGATAAAAGCAGCGTGAAATGGTTGCAACAGGGATGAGTGAAAGGGAGGGGGGCATGGGGAGGTGGCATGAGATTTGGGAGCGGGAGCAGGCTGTTACCCACATACCACCCACACCACACACCCCTCACACACACCACACCCACAGCACTCCCCTTCACTCCACACACACACACCACACACGCCACACCTCACACCACACACACACATCACACCCACACCACACCCACACCTCACCCTACACCTCACACCCACAGCACACCACACCCCTCCACACCACACACCCTACACCTCACACCCACAGCACACCACATTCCTCCACACCACACACCCCTCACACGTGCCACACCCACAGCACTCCCCTTCACTCCACACACACACACCAACCTCACACCCACACCACACCCACACCTCACACCCTACACCTCACACCCACAGCACACCACATTCCTCCATACCACACACCCCTCACACACGCCACAGCCACAGCACTCCCCTTCACTCCACACACATGCCACACATACACCTCACACCACACACATACCTCACACCCACAGCTCACCATACCCCTCCACACCACACACACCTCACACCCTACACCTCACACCCACAGCATACCACATTCCTCCACACCACACACCCTACACCTCACACCCACAGCACACCACACCCCTCCACACCACACACCCTACACCTCACACCCACAGCACACCACACCCCTCCACACCACACACCCTACACCTCACACCCACAGCACACCACATTCCTCCATACCACACACCCCTCACACCCTACACCTCACACCCACAGCACACCACACCCCTCCACACCACACACACCACACCTACACCACACACACACCTCACACCCTACCTCACACCCACAGCACACCACACCCCTCCACACCACACACACCACACCTACACCACACACACACTTCACACCCTACCTCACACCCACAGCACACCACATCCCTCACACCTCCTACACACCACACACACCACAGTCCCCACACCCCATACACCTTCATACACACACACCTCACACACCACAGTCCCCACACCCCATACACCTTCATACACACACACCTCACACACCACAGTCCCCACACCCCATACACCTTCATACACACACACCTCACACACCACAGTCCCCACACCCCATACACCCTCATGCACACACCTCACACACCACAATCCCCACACCCCATACATGCCTCATACACACACACCTCACACACCACAGTCCCCACACCCCATACATCCCTCATACACACACACCTCACACACTACACCCTTCCACACTACATTCCCCACACCCCCCAGACACACACCTTACACACACTCCACACCCCCCATACACACACCACACACACCTCACACACCACACCCCCCCATACACATACCACACACACATCCATACCATACACACACACCCCATATCTCATCCACCACATCCCTCACACCACACATATTACAAACCACACACTCCTCAGAACCCCGCATACCCATACACACCACACACACCCACTTCATACCCCCTACACCCACACGCATCTCACACTCCCTTCCAAGTTTTGTCACCAGCCAGGACACAGTGAAGGCTTCAGAGGCAGGGAAGGCCAGCATCGATGGGCATGAAGCCCAGGACAGACCCCTGAAGGAGAAGGGGAGAGACTGGAAGAGCGGGAAGGAGCTTTGGGAGGAGGGGAAAAGACCATAGCAGAGAGCTCAGCCTGACCATGGACACGGGCAGGTGCACACCTGCGGCTATCGGGCCAGGAGGCCAATCAAGGCAAGGGAGAGAAGCTGCTCACACCCTGGCCACGAGGGGCAAAGGGAGGCGGCACAGGAACAGCAGCAGGAGAGGTGAGAAGGACAAAGAGGAAGCAGAAGGAAGGCCAGAGGAGAGGCTGAGAGGGGCTGGGCAGGCTGGGGGGACACCTATGAGAAGGAGCCTCCAGAGGGGGCTGCTCTCCTGTCTCTGGTCTGCACCAGTGAGCCCTGGAAGGAAGTTCAGGAGGGTCTTGGACGCCCAACCAGGCAGGGAACAGGGCTGCTGCCAGCCCATATGGTGTCTCTGGATCACTTTTCACCTCTTCCCCAAGGGCACTTCTACTGGGAAAATGTCCTACTGATTTTGTTAGAAGACATTTTCACCGCCATCTGTAGGATCACTTTAGTAATCAACATTCAAATCTCCGTCATCCACTGCACACACATGGCACTCGTGGGTAGTCTGCAACCTGCACAACTGTCCATGGCAGCCTGGTTGAGAAGCATCAGGCAGGGCTCTGGTCTGGACTCCCTGGAGAAGGCAGGAAGACCTCTCCCTGCTCTGGCTGCTGCTAAATTTGCGAGGATGGCCTTGCTCAAGCAGGAAGGAGGGAGAGAAAGAGGGAAGAGGTCCTGGATGTTTAAGGAAATAGCAAGCACTGCCAAGAGCCGTGCTGCCTGGGATAAGGGCTCTTGATGCGGGCTGCAGGGAAGAAGCTGAGACCACAAGCTTCTTTCTCGCTTGTGGTATCCGCTATGCCCATGGCATAGGGACAGAGACACAGGAGGTCATTCAGAGGCTGGGGTTCTCTGGCATCTTCAAGTGTCCTGGCCAAAGTTCAGAGTACTGTCCCCCTGCAAGAGAAGGAGGGGCTTCTCTAGTCCCTCCTTCCATCCCAGGGCCTGCTGCTGGAGTGTCCAGGGAGGACGGAAGAGATGGGCAAGAGGGGAGAGTGGAGGAGGCCGAGGGAGAGCTCACCTTCTGCGCACCCGAGAAGGCGTGGCCGTGACATGAAACATTAGGTCACACGGCCTTCCCATCCGGCCTTAGCGTGCCTACACATCTGCACAGAGAAGGAGAAGAGGTTGAGAGGAGAAAGTAGGCAGCGGTAGCAGCACAGAATAAACCCAAACAGCCATGGTGGACGGAAAGAGGACACAAGACAGACGGACAGACAGAAAAGGAGGGAATGAGCAGAAAGAGAAAAAATGAGACCGCAGGGGAGGGAGTGGGTGGGAGGTGAGCAGAGTCTGAGGCAGGGACGGCACAGGAGAGGTGGGAGAGGGCGGGGGCTCCCATCATGCATTTTTTTGTTTTGTGGTTGCTTTTTTGTTTTGTTTTGTTTTGTTTTGTTTTTTGAGACAGAGTCTCACTCTGTCACCCAGGCTGGAGTGCAGTGACACAATCTTGGCTCACTGCAACCTCCGCCTCTCGGGTTCAAGCGATTCTCCGGCCTCAGCCTCCTGAAAAGCTGGGATTACAGGCGCACGCCACCACACCTGGCTAATTTTTGTATTTTTAGTAGAGAAGGAGTTTCACCATGTTGGCCAGGCTGGTCTCGAACTCCTGGCCTCAAGTGATCCACCCATCTCGGCCTCCCAAAGTGCTGGGATTACAGGCGTGAGCCACCACGCCCGGCCTCATCATGCATTTTCAGATGGTCACTCAGATGCCATGTGGAGGGTGGGAGATCTGCATGAGACATGAAGGTTCTGTGGACATGGTGATGTTGTGCTTCCTCTAGGGTCCTGCCTACCACGGAGGACTGGGGGAGGGGGTGTGTGCTGCCTAAGCCTGGTGATGAAAACCTCCAAATCTTCAATGTCCGCAGCATGAACAGTACCCTTTAGTCGTGGTACCCCTGTGTGGTGTGGAACCTGCACAACTGAACTTTAACCTCAGGCCTCCCAGAGCAAAACTGGGCCAGGACACTTGAAGGGGCTCACAGCTGCCCACCCCCTCTCCATTCCTCCCAGAGGTTCTGCTTATGTCTGAGAACACAGAGTGCAGCATGGCCGCACGGGAGTCCCGGCAGGATACAGGAGAAGGCACTAGAGCCCAAAGGGGCTGAGGACAGATCTGCTAAGTCATGCCCATGAGCAGGACAAAGGTGGGGCTTTATGATGCCTTTGCCAAGTGGGTAAGTGAAGACTGGAGTTGCCTCCCAGCATTGCCCTTCTAAGGGAACTCCAGCTGCTCTGTCAAGCCAGTGGCTTCAACAGACCTGGGCATGGAAGGGCTGCTCCTGTTCACCTTCCAGCCTTCCAGAACCTCCCGGGCTGCCTCATGCACACAGCCCTTCCTGCTTAAGCCAGTCATCTGGGTCCCAGAAAGTGGGGTGCTGCCCAATTTTCTTGTTAACAGTAGAAGATGAGAGAGAGAGGTGTGGGGTGGGAGAGGAGCTAGGTAAGAACAACACGCCACTTCAGAACCAGGGGCTGCCTCTGTCTGAGAGACCAGACCATCCAGATACCTGTCACCAGGAGAGGTGGAGGCGGGCAGGAGGACATGGTTTGGGGTCCAGCAGGAGGTGTGCTGGGCATGGAAGGAGCAGGGGGCCCTGGGTACCTTCTGGGCTCCAGAGAAGGCGTGGTAGAAGCTAGACACGTAAGTCATGATGGCTTTCTCATCCGGTCGGGCAGTTCCAACGATGTCTGTCAAGAAAAATCTGCAGTTAAAGCCAGCTGGTTCCAAGAACACCATACACCCCCGATGTGATGCAGAAAGAAGCTCACAATACCACCAAGTCTTCTTGCCAAAATGTGGAGCCCGAATCTAACCAGCCTCTGGCGTCAACTTGCGCTTATGGGAATGTAAGTAGAGGAACACGTGACATGAAGCCCCAAAGAGGCAGACAAACCCAGGATAAGGAACTTGCTACAGGACAGTGGCCCCATTTCTGCAACAAGTTCAATGGCAGGAATAAAAGGGGTCAAAGGGAGGAGAGAAGTCCTAGAGATGGGAAAAGCTGTAGGAAACACAACCGAATGCCAGTATGGACCTTGTTCGGATTCTGATTAAAACAAACCAACACTCAAAGAAATGTCATAGGTAATTATGGAAATTTCATTATGAACTGGGTATCAAATGGAATTATCAATTTGCTAAATGTGAAAACTTCATCGTTGCCTAAGAAAATAACTCTATTTTTAAGGTATGTATTCAGAAGCATGCAGTAGTAAAATGATGTGATATCTCAGAATTGTTTTAAGATACTTCAACAAAGAAATAAGAAAAAAACAAAGTGTGGCAAGACCTCAGTAGCCATTCTATCTGGATGATGGAAATAGGAAAGGTCATCATGCTATTCTTTCTGCTTTTGCCTGGGTTTTTACGTGTTTGAAAATTTTCCTCATGATATTTTTGAAATTTTAAAAGCTACTGGTGGCTTTGGGAGGCCAAGGCAGGCAGATCACTTGAGGCCAGAAGTTCGAGACCAGCCTGGCCAACTTGGTGAAACCCCGTCTCTACTAAAAATATAAAAATTAGCTGTTGGTGGGTGCCTGTAATCCCAGCTACTCGGGAGGCTGAGGCAGGAGAATCGCTTGAACCTGGGAGGCGGAGGTTGCAGTGAGCTGAGATCACACCACAGCACTCCAGCCTAGGTGATACAGGGAGACCCCGTCTCAAAAAAAAAAACCACTGATGGGGCAGAAGGACAGGGAGCAGTCTGGACCCCACCGTGGTCTTTTCCTGTCCCCATAACCCTTTTCTAGCCCCTCAGCACTGAGCAGGCGGGGCCAAGGAGAGCACACAGGGAAGTGGCCACGGTGAGTCAGGCTCCTCCCAAGGGGCAAGCACAGAGATGGGACAAGAAGACCCAGCCTGACCCCAGTCTGGAGCTGCCAGCCCTGGCTTCATGAACCCACAGACCCCTATGCTCCCAGATGCCTCCCTTCCCCCTACAGCCCCTGCTCACCCCATCCGAGATGCTCTGCATGGGGAGAGGGGCAATGGCGGGGTCAGCAGCCAGGAAGAGCTGGGTTTCCAGCCCCAGACCCAATCTTTGGTAAGGATGTTCTAGTGTCAAACCCTGAACCTGTCCCCATCCAGGTGTCCTGGTTAGCAGCATTTGGGACACCAAGGCCTTGGTGAGGAACAGAAAAGTCAACACTCAACTTGGGCCCCCTCCTTCCTTCCCTACCCCACATGGAGCCACTTCCTCTGGCTGGGATCTGCCCAGCAAGGTCAGAACTGGACACTTCCACTACTGAGAAAGTCCAAGCCATAGTTCTCTAGCACCCTCCTCAGAAGATGCTAGAAGGAAGCCAGGGTTACAGATGAGAGCAAACACCATGCCCAGTCAGCCCCAGTCATAGCTGGGGCATAAAGGAGATGCTAAGCTCAGCCGTCCCAGAGACCACCCAAGGCTCAGAGAGTTAGGACAGTGCACCTCTCAGCAAGAGAAACTTCCCATCCCAAACTGTGTCGGACAACAAGGGCACACTTCCCCGCACCCCAGCACCTGCTACCCTGACTTCAAGGGAAAGATGAGAACCATCCTCAGGCAATCGATGCAAGAACAGCCCCTAAGCCCTTTGCAGAATCAGCTAACACCTCTCCCTCCAAAGCTCAGGGAACAATGGAAGAATCCCCAAGAGGCTGTGATCCCCATGCTCCTCAAATGCAGTTCCAGAAGACCAGGCCCTGCTCCTGTCCAGCCCTGGACTGTTGGGGTCCACCCCTTCTTAGCCGCTGAGTGACGGGGGGATGGGCAAGATACACAGAAGGAAAGCGCCTTTCACCTTCGGCATCCAGCATCTTGGGGATGTCCAGGTACTTCTCTGCCACATCAAAAGCTGTATTCAGATTTGTGAGTGGATCATCCTAGAGGGAGAAGAGGAGGAAGGGATGATAAAGTGAGAGCCACAGCAAGTCACTGGCTACTCCCAATTGGGTGGTCACCCAAACTGGGGAGCAGAGCGACTTTCTCCCAGCCCCAGCTCGATCCTCAGGGGAAAGTTCCAGATGTGGAAGGCTGGTCTCACCACTGGGGCTCACTGGTTGGAGGTTTAAAGCATTCTCTTTCCCCCTTCAAGCTTCAGAGTGTCAGGGAAATGGGGCGAAGTAGTCTGCAGCCTGAGTCGGGAGTAGGAAGGAGTTCCTAAGAAATGTGTGCTAGGAGCAGGGCACTGGCCTAGTCACCACCCATCCTGGCTTCTGGTTTCAGCTCTGCCTCCAACCAGTGGGACTTGTGGGTAGATAACCTGACCTTAGCTTCTCCATCCATAACTCAAGAGTTGGAGTAGGGAGCTCTAAACTCTAGACTAGTCAAGATTCGGAGCAGGACCCCTCTGGTGCTCACATTCCATGAAATTTGGAGGCTCCTTTAGCCACAGCTTTGGACTCTTCTGGCTTCTGCTACTTTCTCAAGAACACTTAGCAGGGATTGGCAAGGATGTTGAGAAGCTGTAATCCTTGTGCGATGAATGCAACATAAACGTAGGTGGAATGTCAAATGGTACAGCTGCTGTAAGAACAGGATGGTGGCTCCTCAAAAAATTAAACATGGGATTACATGGTCCCACAATTCCACTTGTGGGGAGATACTCAAAAGAATTGAAAGCAGGTTCTCAAAGAGATTTTTATACCTCCATTGTCCACAGCAGCATTATTCACAGTAGCCAGGAGGTAGAAGCAACCCCAGTCCCCATCGATGGACGAACAGATAAGCAGAACGTGGGCACACGCACAATGGAATATTATTCAGCCTTAGCAAGGAGGGAAATTCTGACATACACTGCAACACGGATGAACTTTGAGAATGTTATGCTAAGTGAAATAAACCAGACACAAAGGACACAGGCCGGGCGCACTGGCTCATGCCTGTAATCCCAGTACTTTGGGAGGCCGAGGCAGGTGGATCGTTTGAGGTCAGGAGTTCATGACTAGCCTGGCCAACATGATGACACCTGCAATTAAATACAAAACACCTGCTAAAAATAGAAAAATTAGCTGAGTGTGGTGGTGCGTTCCAGCTACTCGGGAGGCTGAGGCAGAATTGCTTGAACCCGGGAGGCAGGGGTTGCAATGAGCCAAGATCACGCCCCTGCACTCCAGCCTGGGCAACAGAGTAAAACCTCGCCTCAAAAAAAAAAAAAAAAAAAAAAAAGGACAAACACCATATGCCTTCACTTTTATGAGGTTCCCAGACAGAAAGCAGAATGGTAGCAGCCAGAGGCTGGGGGCAGGAAAGAAAGGGGGATTACCGTTTAGTGGGTACAGACTCAGTTTTGCAAGAAAAGAGTTCTGGAGATGGATGATGGGAACAGTTGTACAATAATGTGAGTATATGGAATACCGCTAAACAGTAAGTATATTTAAAAATGTTCAAAGTGGTAAATTTTGTTTCATATATTTTACCACAAGTTGTTTTATAAGTTTTTAATGCAGGGGGTAAAAAACCTTAGTGGAAGAGTTTCTGGCTGGGCCCTTCTCCTCCATTCTTGGTTCCCCAGACTAACCTAGAGCAAGCTGGTTGTGTCGGCCCAGGACTCAGTTTCCCTGTTTGCTAAAGGGAGAAATATAGGGTAATAAAAAGATAAATACATCATCCGGGATGTTTTCAGGAGGAAATTGTTCTAAACAGAGAAGGTGGGGTCCTTCTGGGAAAGTCTCCAACAGCAGCCAGGAGGGTGAACACTGACAAGTAGTCAAGGTCATTCCCATCCAGGGCCTTGAGCAGCAGCTGCCAGTGCTCAGGTCCAGGTACACACACACCCACCCCACGTGAGTCCCAGGGACCCCAGGGCCCCATGCCCACCCATGGCTGCTGCAGGAAGGAAGAGCTTCCCAGTCGGAGCCCCTCAGCCCTCTCTCCCTATTCCTCAGCACCAGCTGGTCTTGCAACCTCCTTGTTCTCTGGAAGGGTGTTCCTGGTTCACTGTGTGTGCTAGGATTTGGGCTGGATTTTACTGATGATGATACTGAACTAAAAAGAGTGGAAGCAGGCCGGGCGCGGTGGCTCACGCCTGTAATCCCAGCACTTTGGGAGGCCAAGGCGGGTGGATCACGACGTCAGGAGATCGAGACCATCCTGGCTAACACAGTGAAACCCCATCTCTACTAAAAAACAGAAAAAATTAGCCAGGCATGGTGGTGGGCGCCTGTAGTCCCAGCTACTCGGGAGGCTGAGACAGGAGAATGGCATAAACCCGTGAGGCGGAGCTTGCAGTGAGCCAAGATTGCGCCACTGCACTCCAAGCTGGGTGACAGAGCGAGACTCCATCTCAAAAAAAAAAAAAAAGAGTGGAAGCCAGGTGTGGTGGCTGTGACTGTAATCCCAGCTACTTGGGAGGCTGAGGCAGGAGGGTCACACTGAGACCAGAAGTTCAAGACCAGCCTGGGCAATACAGTGAGACTTCATCTCTACAAAAAAATTACAACTAAAAAACAGAAGGGGGCTGGGCACGGTGGCTCACACCTGTAATCTCAACACTTTGGGAGCCTGAGGCAGGCAGATCACCTGAGATCAGGAGTTTGAGACCAGCCGGCCAACATGGTGAAACCCTGTCTCTACTAAAAATACAAAAATTAGCCGGGCGTGGTGGTGGGTGCCTGTAATCCCAGCTACTCGGGAGGCTGAGGCAGGAGAATTGCTGGAATCTGGGAGGCAGAGGTTGCAGTGAGCAGAGATCGCACCATTGCACTCTTGCCTAGGCAACACAGCAAGACTATGTCTCAAAAAAAAAAAAAAAAAAAAAAAAAACGGCTGGGCATGGTGGCTCATACCTCTAATCCCAGCACTTTGGGAGGCCAAGACGGGTGGATCACCTGAGGTCATGAGTTCGAGACCAGCCTGACCAACAGGGCGAAACCCCATCTCTATTCAAAATACAAAATTAGTTGGGCATGGTGGCGCACGCCTGTAATCCCAGCTACTCAGGAAGCTGAAGCAGGAGAATCACCTGAACCCGGGAGGCAGAGGTTGCAGTGAGTAGAGATCGCACCATTGCACTCCAGCCTGGGCGACAATAGTGAAACTCTGTCTCAAAAAATAAATAAATAAATAAATAAAAATAAAAAAACAGAAGGGGAGACCGAGACAGCGAAACAGGGAGAAATTGGCAGAGATAAATAAAAAGACAGAGAGGGATAGTGCGTGGGAGGGTGCTAACCGGGTATCAGAAAGAACCCCTGGACTTTCACCTCCCAAATGGCTGACGCTTCCAAATTCTTCAGAGTAAGGGAGGGGGCTCCAGAGCCACGGTCAGCACAGACCCCTTTATGTGGGGATGTCCAACAGCTGTGGAGGAACTGGCCACTGACACCCCAGCATACTCAAGCAGGGACAGAGATACGTGCACACCTGTCACCAAAGCCCATCGGCTGAATAGGAAGTGGTGATGATGCCTTCAAAAGAGAAAACTGCCACCTCTAGGATATTCTCCCTTGGCCACGTGGGATTTGGCCACACAGCTTCCCAGCAGGACAGGAAGTTTCTCTCTTTTTTTTTTCCTTGCCAAGCAGCTGAGGAGGTGGGCCAAGGATCCTCTTCCCCCAGGAGGTTAGCTGGGGAAGGGCTGGCCCCTGCTGTGGAGCCTCTCCTTCAGCAGATGGGCCCTTCCAGTGGACAGAGGCCTCAGCCCCAAGCTTCAGGTGACGGGGCAGCGTGTATGGGGCTGGCGGAGGCGGGGCGCAGTACAGGGAAGCAAGTAGGAATCTGCTCCTTCCCTCCCTCAAGATCCTTTTCGGCAGCTTGCTATCCACCCGCCCACAGCCAAGGGCCTGCCACCACCACAAGTTGCACAGCAGCTCCTGCCCCAGCAATACTAGACCTCTCCTGGCCACTGAGAAGCAAGACGCCCTTCCTGGAGGCCCAGGCAAGGCAAGAGCTACACCGAACACTGTGTTCTCCAGTGTCAAGGTGAAGTAGAGGCACATAAGTGCAGCCGCTCCTTGAAGCCTCCCTTGCCAAGAGATTTGAGCACAGATAGGCGACATTCCAACCCCAACTCCAGGTCACCAACTGGGGGCTTGGGAAGGGCCTTTCCCGGGATGGCCATGCCATTGCGGCCTCTTGGCACCAAGATGGACCAAGAGGGAACCTGGAGAGTGTGGGCAGAGGGTCCAGGAGGGAACCTGGAGAGTATGGTTAGAGGGTCCAGGACAGGTTTCTCCAAGGTCCAGGGCAGTGTCATCCAACCAGCTCAGACACTGAGAACCACCATGAGGCTAGAAACACAGCTCCCACTCCCACATCTGTCCCCACTCCACACATCCACTCAAGAAAAATCACTGCAGCTTCATGCTGAAGGCAGGAGTGAAACCAAAAGAAAATCCCCCAGCCAAACTTCAGCAATAAAGGAAACCAAATCCATGGATAGGATAAGCTGCCCAGGACCGCACAGGAAGTCAAGGACAAGGCGGGGATGAACTGTCTCTTAGAATATGTGTTTCCTCTTTACAAGTCCCGGAAAAACAGAAAGGAGAAACGTCATGTACCATTCCATCCCTCTGACCAAGCTGCTGCCGCAGCTGTGATATTTTTCCTGGCGGGCTGTGTATGTGTGCAAGAACACACACACTACTTACAAGGCTAATGAAGTTGCCCTAACAGGGAAGGTGTTTTTCTCTTCACTTTCAGTTGGAGCTCTGTCTGGCTATTCTAAGAGGCCAACACCGCTCAGGTTGGACCATGGACTGTCACAGAAAGGGTCCTAGTCCTGCTCTTTTCCCACCCCACCTGCCAGGGACCCAAAGTGGGAGGTCAGGAGGGCACACATACCTTCCGCAGCTTCCCGTAGTCAATCAGCTCGGGCCGGTGTCGGTGGATCAAGGCACAGAAGCCGAGGCCATCCTTCCAGCTGCCCGGGGAGAGAGAAGGGGTAGGCTGGTAAATGAGGCTGAACAAATGGGAAGCCAAGCACTGACCAGGGCAAAGCAGGGGCCTCCTGGACTCCAGAGAGATGAACACAGAGCTTTCTGGGGCAGGAGTCAGAAGACAGGACGGGAAGGGACATTTGTTCCTGCCACAATCCCAGGCACTGGGGTCAAGACTTTGTGGCGGGGTTGGCAGGTTGAGATAAATCTGCCATATCCAGCCCTATCCCCAATCAAGGCCTATGGCTCTGTTCCAGAGCCCTGGGCTGGGACTTCCTGGACAATTTCCTTGGGGGCGCTCCCAGTAGCAAAAGCATCAACCAAAGTTATATCAGGCAGCAGCCCTAAGACACTGCAGGGAGAAAGACGGGGCGATTCAGAGGGATGGTGACACCCCCTTCCCAAGGAAAGCTACTTCTTCCACCAACAGTCTCCACTTTGTTCTAAAGCTGAGACTGAGCCAGTCAACGGGGTCTGGGAGCTCCCGGGGGAGGCAGCCTGGTTCTGAGAGAGCCCCTCGGCCCCCAGCACTCACCTTATGTGGAAGTTCTGGATGTTGACGTTTTTGTAAGGGGCCGTCTTTCTTTGACACCACAGGAGCAGCCCTTCCTTGGCTGAAGTCTCTGTGGGGAAGGGGACGGGCAGCGAGGTCAGAGGGCTGACTCGGTGGAGGAAGGGATGCCGGCTCATGGAGGCCCCACTGTGACCCCCTGATGCCAACCCTCCTTCAGAGGGCTGAAGGAGGAGCCCTGGCCATCAAGTCTATTCCCTTGACAAAGTTTGAGAAGTTATTTGAGAAACAGAAAAAGCAAGCTGGGAAGCTTTTCAGAGCTAGTTGTGCTATACATATAAATTCTGAGATAACAGTTTTTCCAACTTCAAGAATTATCTCCCCCTACTCCTTTTATTCAAAGAAATGGTAATGATACAAAATAAGTCAGCAACCTCTATCAGGTTGAGGAGGAAGGTTTGATTGATCTGGGAAATCTACACATCCAGGGGTCTCCAGACAGGGGATCCCACAGCCTGAGGGGTGCACACAGCTGAGTGAGAAGAAAGCATTAGGACTCCTAGACAGATTTTGTTTTTAATCTAAAAAATAAAAAATAAGGTCTCCCTATATTTACTTCATGGATCAATACTGCTGCCCTGTGTGTGTGAAGGAGCCACGTGTCTGTGAGTTTAGGTAGGCAACTGAGGGGACTCACGGAGCTCCCAGCACAGAAGAAAGACTGCAAACCACACTACCCCCCGATATGCTTTGGCTGTGTCCCCACCCAAATCTCATCTTGAATTGTAGCTCCCATAATTCCCATGTGTTGTGGGAGGGACCCAGTGGGAGATAATTGAGTGGTGGGTGTGTTCTCATGGTAGCGAATAAGTCTCACGAGATCTGACGGTTTTCTAAGGGAAAACCCCTTTCACTTGGCTCTCATTCTCTGCCTGCTGCCACGTAAAAGGTCCCTTTGCTCTTCCTTGCCTTCCGCCATGATTGTGAGGCCTCCCCAGCCATGTGGAACTGTGAGTTCATTACACCTCTTTTTCTTTATAAATTACCCAGTCTCGGGTATGTCTTTACCAGCAGCGTGAAAACTGACTAATATACTCCTGTGTTCATGCCTGTGAATTGGAGGTTAAGGTACTCAGTGGACTGGGTTCATGAATGATCTCATTTATTTTCAGTGCACAAAATGGACTTTAAAATGACATTCAAGGGTTCCTACAAAGACCATAACCACCTAAGCAAAAGCAGACAATTTAAAAATTGGCAAAGCTAGTGCTTCTACTTAGCTTAAGCTCTTCGTCAGCTAAATCATAAGAGTAACACAATGATGACTTCAAAGCTGACAGGAAGTCACCCAAAAGAATCAAAATCATCAAGAAGGCTATTTGAGAAATGGATTTACTTCCACTGTCATTAACAAGAACCACACGCCAGGTGACTACTATGACCCTCTTTCCAACCACTTCAACCCTAAATACCAAGTACCCATAAACCGAACTTGGACCCCTGCATTGCTGTATCACAGAGTGTCAAACCAACATCTCCATCACAAAGTAACTGAACTGAATCCACGTTGTTTTTATTAAGAAATTCCTTTGACTAAAAATGTTTATGATGTCTATGGCATTAAAACAAACATTTTAAAAATGTTATCTCCATCTCATCTTGTAAAAGTTTGTTTCAGTATGTGTGTTTTATCATACGCACAGCAATACACAAATATTATGCAAGATAAATACATGCATAGCAGACATAAAGCTCAAAAACTGCCCGAGTATGGAACCAAATGTAGAGATCACTTCTCCAGACCGTGACGGCCCTTGTAGATCTGTGAAGTGGTCACTAGAGGGTGCTAGGGGAGCAGAGTAGAAGACAGGGTTAGCACCCCTCCTGGCACTTCCTCCCAGCGGCATTTCCCCACCCTTTCAGATGAATGACCCAAGAGCCAGGTGGGTTTTCCAATATACTTCCCCGTGGCAGCCTTGGGCTTTCCCAAAGTGGGGAGTTTCCCTGGGGCCAACACACCTATGATAATCAGAATGGCAAATAGTTCTTTTTTCTACATTGACTGGAAGAGAGGGCTGATGCCCAATAAATGAGCAAGAAGCCTAGGACACGGCCCCTGATGAACGTCCATTGCCCTGGGTGCGGGAGTTCTCCAGGCTAAGCCCAGGGAGGGAGACGGGGTGGTGATGGCAGGATGGAACAAAGCGGAAACCCACCTTCCACGGAGATGTCCTGGATGGCAAAGCGCAGGATGATGGTCCAGATCATGCCCAGGGTCATCTTCACATTCCCATCCACGATTTCTACAGAAACAGCAGCACCACGCATCAGAAAGGGCCTCGGCGGGGACAGAATTAACACTCCCTCAGCACCCACAGCACTCCATGCCCCACACTAGGAATCAAAGACTCCAGAGCTCTACTTCTAGAGGGAAACCGGATTTCTGCTTGTTTGTTTTTGAGACAGGGTTTTCGCTCTGTCACCAAGCTAGACTGCAGTGGTGCAATCATGGCTCACTGCAGCCTCCAAATCCTGGGCTCAAGCAATCCTCCCATCTCAGCTTCCTGGGTAGCTGGGACTACAGATAGGCCACCATTCTCGGCTAATTTTTTCATTTTTTGTAGAGACAGGGTCTTATGATATTGCCCAGGCTGGTCTCAAACTCCTGGGTTCAAATGATCCTCCTACCTTAGCCTCCCAAAGTGCTGGAATTACAGGCATGAGCTACCATGTCTAGCCTGGATGTTTCTTAAAGTTAATGCATAAACTGTGACAGGCGCTGGAAGAGAAGTCTATTTGGGGCACCAAAAAAAGGTGTAATCAATCCTAATTGGAGACAGTGGGTACATTGGGGAAGGCCACAGAGAAAGGGGCATTTGAAATCCTGATCTGTGTCCCCAGCTGATGAAGAAGAGGAGAGGATTTCTAAACAATCACAAATGTTCTGGCAATTCTGTGAGCTGGGGCTGTCTGGGCAATCACAGCTCTCAAAATAGCCACCCACATGTGGAAAAACCAGTGGAATCAAGAGACAGCCACAAACTTAAAGTTTTGTAAATTGCCATTTTGAACCATCCACTGACTCAACCTCACAATGCCATTAGTTTGGGTATTAAAACAGATTAAAAAAAAAAATCAAACAACAGCTTCAAGATCACAGCTAACAGATAACCCACTATATTTAGTCTAAGCAGCACCTTTTAGAGTTTTAGAATCTACAAGTTCTATGAAGTAGATTTTCTCTTTTTTTCTGTACCAGGCCTAATGGCAGGGAATACAACATAAATAAGCCCTATTTTAAGGAGCCCAATACAAGGAGCCATTTATGGTCTTGTGGTTGAACAAGTGATACTCAAGTGTACATTCCACACCCCTCACCACCTGCATCCAGACCAGGAGATAGTAATCTGGCCCATGGTAAGACACACTCAGTTAAGAGTAAGGTACCCAAAGAATATCTTATTTTTTTCCCACCTACAGCATTAATTTTAGGGGAGACCCAATAGAACCATGAGAAGGATCCATTTCTAGGGAGTCTGACCCTACTAAGATTTGCATCCCACAAACCCCTGAAACAAGAGTGGATTTCCATTAAGGACAGTATACCCTGACATCTTAGCCCCTTTCCCAAAAGTGAAGGCAAAACTGTATGCTGCTCCATGACCAGCAGGGTGTAGTCCATGGAGCGGTGCTTGGCCACAGCCACCTCCCAGGGGCGGAGCAGGTAACCCACCGAGTCTTCATGGGATGCTGAGCAAAGGAAGAAGTGTCCATTTTGGACATGGAATAGGATGTAACCCTTCTTGCAAACAGGGAAGTAAAAATGCCCTTCCCAGAGCCCCAGACACCAGGGGAGCACAGTCCCACATCCAAGCACTTGAGTTGGGGAGAAACAGAGAGCTGTAGCAGCATGCAACCCCTTTTGCTACTAAGCAACACAGCCAGCCAGCATTTTGCAGTCCACATTGTGGGGAGGCAGAGCTACTCTTTAAGAATCAGTTCATAGACTCGGCAGTGGCTCAAGTCTGTACTCCCAACACTTTGGGAGGCCAAGACAGATGGATTGCTTGAACCCAGGTGTTCAAGACCAGCCTGGGCAACATGACAAAACCCCATCTCTACAAAAATACAAAAATTAAATAGGTATGGTAGTGCCTGTAGTCCCAGCTATTCAGACTTAAGTGGGAGGATTGCTTGAGCCAAGGCAGAGGCTGCAGTGAGCTGTGATCGCACTACTGCACTCCATCCGGGGCAACAAAGCAAGACCCTCTCTCAAAAAAAAAAATAAGATAAAACAAAAAAGTAAAGGAACCGGCTCATAAAGCTTTGATATTTTTAAAAAAGCACTTTCATTTGTGATTTCTAATGGTTTAAAGAGTTCATCTAAATTGAAAAGACAAAAATACCAAACTCTCAATAAATAAGCAAAAGACAAAAAACCATAAAACATGAAATACAAATAATCAATTCATAAGAATGTTCAATCTCACTTATAATCAAAGAAATAAGATCACCTTCCCATGCTATTAAATTAGCAAACTTAACAAACAAAGTTAGGCTGGGTGAAGTAGCTCATGCCTGTAACCCTAGCACTTTGGGAGGCCAAGGTAGGAGGATCGCTTGAGCCCAGGAGTTCAAGACCAGCCTGGGCAACATAGGAGACCTTGCCTCTACAAAAAAATGAAAAAAGTAGCCAGGTGCAGTGGTGCATACCTGTAGTCCTAGCTTCTTGGGAGGCTGAGGCAGGAGGACTGGGGATTGAGCCCAGGAGCTCAAGGTTGCAGTGAGCTGTGATAGCACCGCTGCACTCCAACCTGCGTGACAAGTCAAGACCCTGTCTCTTAAAAACAAAAACAAAAACAAAAACAAAACCCAAAAAAACCCAAAGTTGAAAAACCACATGCCTTGATGTCAGCAAGGCTACCACATTAGAAGTGTAAATTGGTTTAAAAAACAATAATAATAATTTCTGGGAAATTAATCAATTAATCTGGGAAATAATTTGGCCACAAGGAGTATGCATCTTAAAGTTGCTCAACTTTTTGGTAGTAAAATTCTATCTCTAGGAATCTATCCCTAGTCAATGAAAGGAAATGCAGAGTAAGGTTTCTGTACGAATGCACTTGCTGCAAGGCTATATTTATCACAGCCCCGTACTAGAAACCTCGCAAATGTACACAGTACACAGAATGACCAAGTAAATCCCCAGACCCCATATCACCCTCTGCTAAAACCTCCACAGCTTCCCACCTCCCTGAGAGTCAAAGCCAGTGGCCAGCAAGGCCCTCGTAGTCTGGCCGCCTGGGCCTCTGGTTCCCCTTCTTCCCCCTGCTCTTCCTTCCCCTCCCCGCCTGCTCAGGTCTCCCTGCAGCTCCCCATCCCTAGATACCTACATGGCTTATCCCTGCCTCCTGCCAGTTTCACTCACATACCCTCTTCTCATGGACACCTCCCTTGACCACCCAAGTTCCTCCCTGCTTTGGTTTTCTCCATCTGACAGGTGTACATGCATATTTTCTCTCTTTCCCCTCTAGAACATAAGCCCCTTGAGGGTAAGAATACTTCCTTCTTTGCATCATTGCTTAGAGTCCAGTATGAAGCCTGGCACAGGGAAAGCCCCCATCAGCATCTGCTGAGTGAATGAATGGGTGAACAAACACTAACCACAAGTGGGGGTATGGGCAGAGCTAACACTGGCCTGGGCCCCCTGAGAACACAATGGGCCTCAGTCTCTTCCAGGGCAGGGCCCAGGCCTGGGATGAAGTACGATAAACAGATGATGAGGCCAGGCGCGGTGGCTCACACCTGTAATCCCAACACTTTGGGAGGCCAAGGTGGGACAGATCACTTGAGGTCAGGAGTTCAAGACCAGCCTGGCCAACATGGTGAAACCCCGTCTCTACTAAAACAGAAATTAGGCAGATGTGGTGGCACATGCCTGTAATCCCAGCTACTCATGGGGCTGAGGCAGGAGAATCGCTTGAATCTGGGAAGGGGAGGTTGCAGTGAGCTGAGCATGCCACTGCACTCCAGCCTGAGCAACAGAGCAAGACTCGTCGAGAAAATAAAACAAAACAAAAAAGACAATGAATGCAGCCATTAACGATTACATCATGAGTGCTTAATAACTTAGAAAAATTGTTCAACATGGGAAACGGGAAAAGCAGGTAACAAATTTCATAAACAGTGTTTAAAATATAAGGGGAAAAATTTTTAAGCCTAGAAAAAAGCTCTGGCGGTAATCCCATGGTTTGGCCTTCCTAGAGGTGGGACTGCAATGCTAGCCCTCCCCTGGTCCCCCACATGCTGCCCCACTCTGTCACGGCCAAACTGCAGGGACTCCCGCTGGCCCTGACCTCAGTGCCTGCGGATCTGCCATCTTGGAGCCCTCCTGGAGGGACTGAGAGAGGCAGGTGGCTTCTTTCTTGGGTCTTGCCTACTTATCCTCTTCTCCTTCCCCAGAAACTCCCCAGAGAATTTTGCTTACTGAATTCTCATTTACACCAAAGACATAGTTTCACTCCAGAAAACAGGCGCCAAGCACGAGCACAGAGAGTAGGGTGTGCTTAATTAGCAGCCCATGTACGTACGCCCAGCCCCAGTTCCCACCTGACTCCCATCCCATTCACTCTCCTTCCCCTTCCCTGGCATGGCAGGTCCTGTATTCCAGGCCTCCGGCTTCTCAACGTTTGCAGCAGGGATGCCCCATCTCGCAGGCAGCTTTGTGACAGGGACTGCTTGGAAGGTTGGGCCCAAAGGGAGGGTTCCAAGGTCACAACTGGGCTTCGTGGGAAAAATCTTGATGACAGATTAACAGCGTCTGCCCTTCCTGGTCTACGGCGAGCTATGAAGCTGCTCGCATCGCCTGCTTACTGGGAACCTGTTTCTCCCTCCTTCTCCCTCCAGAGACACCGTCATCTGTTCAGTATTCAGATGGCAGAATGAATGCTGCAGAAATTCCATGTGACAGAAACTAGAACCCCAGGGGCCACCACCTCCCAGACCAATGCTGTGGTATGGCACCCATGGCCCCCTCCATCCTAAAGATACATGCTACCTCACTGAGACCACCTCCATGCTCACAGCACCCAAACCCTCAGGCTCCACCTGCCCAAAGACCTTCAAATACAAAATCCTTTTTGAGTTCCTTCCCCTGGTTAACTACATTCCAACCACTCACCCAGGCCAAGTCCCAGTTCCATGAAGTCTACCCATTCTAGAACCAAGTATCGTAAGGGAGACCTTAAGGATGTGCTCCAACCTCTCCCTGATGTGTGGAAGTTCCTTGTCTCCAGCCTCCATGTGCACACCTTCAGGGACAGGACACTCATGACCCTCCCAGAGCCCCGGTTCCATTTCCCAAGGCTCTGCATGTTATCCAGAGTCCACCTCCCCACAGAGTACCTATTCTGGGCCTGCTTCTGCCCTTCGGAGTCAGCCAGAGGTCTTAGTCCTTGCACAGCATGATAATCCTTCAAAGACTTTGGCGGGGGGCTCAGGGATGTCCCTGCTGGGCCTGGTCTCCACAGTCACAGCCTTCAGCAGCCCAGGATGGACAACCTGCAACGTTCCCCCGCCCCCCTTCCAGGAGAGTTCGTTCCAGGCGATCTGCCCGTCACCTTTTATTTATAATCTACATCAATAAACTCCATTTCACTTTTAAAAGCCCACAAAATGCTATTTGCTGCCTCATCTAGTTTCTTGGTTTAGCAGAGCGGCCACTGTGGCATGATCCTAGTGCTCAGCCGGATGGGAGCGGATGATTTCAGATCTGGAAGCCGCAGCTGAAAACACTGGCTCCTCAGGGCAGGGAGAAGGTAAAGAATATCTCATTTTAAAGGAGGCTTTTTGGCTGGGCGAGGGGGCTCACGCCTGTAATCCCAGCACTTTGGGAGGCTGAGGCAGGTGGATCATTTGAGGTCAGGAGTTCACAACCAGCCTGGCCAACATGGTGAAACCCCATCTGTACTAAAAATACAAAAATTAGCCAGGTGTGGTGGCGCGAACCTGTAATCCCAGCTACTTGGGAGGCTGAAGCAGAAGAATCACTTGAGCCTGGGAGGTAGAGGTTGCAGTGAGCCAAGATTGCGCCATTGCACTCTAGTCTGGGTGACAAAGTGAGACCCTGTCTCAAAAAACAAAAAATAAAGGAGCCTTTTCAAAATATTGAGAGAAGCTAGGCCTGTGTCAAAGGAAAAGGGAAAACCGAGGCCGCCAGGTGAATCACCTTCCCAGCACAGCAGCGGCAGTGAGATGAGAGTTCACGCCAGTGTTCCTCTCACTCCTCACCCCTGAGGCCAGCACAGCAGGGGCAGGCTTGATCTGCCATCTCATTACTGAAGACAATTCCATGTGAAAGTTCTGTCCTGGGACCCGACCCGGGGAGGCAGCGCTGACAGGAAGAGGGAGGCCTCAGCTCTGGAGCCTAACCCTGGGTTTAACCCTGGATCTGCCACATAGAAGCAGGCTGGCTCGGAGCCTGGGCTCAACTGACGACACTCTTCCATTCTAGCAACTTTTCTAAGCCTCAGTTTCCTTAACTGTAAAACGTGGCTGGTGATACCCATCCTACGAGTCCATCGTGATGGTAGCAGGAGATGGCCCCTGTAAAGCATCCTGTCTGGCAACACAGAGCTGGTACTCGGTGAGTGCTACTCTCTTCCACCTTCCCCTTCCCTGCCCTCCTCCCCCGCTTTGGAAGAGGCTTTAAAGAAAAAACAAGTTGTTTTTTAAAATTCAGTTGCCAAATTTTTCTTTTCAAAAAATCTGGATTTCTGGCTTCTTTTGAAAAACCGGAAGATCTAGCAGCACCGGATCCACACAGCAGCAATTTCTTACATCCACAAGGTGCCCATCCCGCTTAGGACAGGATTCTGCAGCTCGCCACAGCCCCTACCCACCCCTGCCACTGACCCCTGAACCACTTCAGAAATTTCCTACACTCCCCTGCCCCGGGGGCATCTGAGCCTGCACCAACCACCTGGGTTGGCCTCCCACGCCTGCTTAGTTATAACTTTTTCTGCCAAGTCTTGAATTGCTCCCTAATAAAACAAACTGTTCTTTTCTTATAAGGCAGAGAACATCTTCCTAATCACAAAGCAGAGTATACTGCTATATGTAAATCCTTTGAACATTTATTGAGCACCTACTGTGTGCATCATGCTGCTAGGAGCTGGGGCCACAGGATGTAGAAACCATGCTTTCTGCCTTTGGGAAGCTCATAGCTGGTGGGGGAGATGCTGGAATCCACAAGGCACCTCCCATGACCACCTTGGGCACTGGCCTGAATTCCAGATAAGGCCAGAGGTGAGCAAATTTTTTCTGTAGAGGGCCTGATAACAAATGTTTCTGGCTCTGTGGTCCATACAATCTCTGTAGCAACTACTCAATACTGCCATTGAAGCACAAAAGCCACTGATGACACATTAACACGGGTGTGCTGTGTTCCAATATTTCCAAAAATCTGAGTCAGCTGGACTTGACCCCACGCACTGTAGTTTGCTGAGCCTGTGTTAAAAGTTCTCCATTTGATGTATCAACAAAATATCCCTCCATTTCTAGAAGAGAGGGGACTGTAAGCTTCAACCAGAGAAGAGGTCTGCTCCTATGGACCTATCAGGAGCAAGACCCCTGCCCCCTCCAAGGAAAGGCCACTCTCTGAGGGCATTTCTCTGGTGTCAGAAAGACCTGCGTTTGAGTTCCGGCTTTGCCATTTATTGACGGCAGAACCTTAAGGAAGTAACGTAATCTCTTTAAGCATCTGTTTTCTTATGGCAAAATTGGGAGAATTAATTATGAGAGCTACCTCATAGGGTTGCTGGAGGATTAAGTATATGCCACAGAGTGAGCAATCCACTCTCACAGCCAGGGTGTGTCTCAAATGAGTGAGATTCGTTCGTTTTCAGGTCTCTGACCTCACGCAGCAGGTGCCCCATAAATACTTGCTAAATCCACGGTCACAGGACTGAAGGGGCCTGGATAGAATAGCTTCTGCCTGCTCTAAATGACCAACTCTCAATTTTTCAGAGCCACCACCACGCACACAAGAAATTACACTATCTTCTTTTAATCATTAAGGACAGCCTAGTAGTAGCTTTTTTGGGAAGTGTTTCTAAGTAAAAGTGAAAGAGTTAGGAAGCTACACTGCAGGGAAATGCTATTAAAAATGTTCCTACAGACTTCAGTCTTGCCAGGACCCCGGGGGAGTCTCGGGGCAGCCTCCGGCCTCCACCAGCCTGCGTCTGCACACCCTTTCCAGCCCACACACAAACCCTCTGCTCCAGGCAATGCTGTGCAGTCAGGCCTGTGGACAGGGGAGGGGGCATGCCACACACACAGAACTCCACAGAGCAAGGACGTGGCTAAGCTGGTGCAGGCATGGGAACAGGGGTCTGAGTCCTTGGTTTTGGGCAGCGCTGAGACCAGAAAAGCGCTGTTGCAATACAAAGCACCCACAGGCGACCAGATGGAGGTGTTGGGGACCCACTGCCCAATGCCCCCAAGTGATGCAGGGCCCAGGAGGCAGCTCAAAAAAGGCCAAGAGAACCAGGAGGGACAAAGAAAATCAGACTCCTTGGGGCCACCAGAGGCAGGCCTTACTCACCTTCGGCTCCGATGGACACCAGTTTGACACCTTTGCTGGCTATGAAATCCAGGGCCTTGTTGACGTTGGAGATCTTGTGCACCCTCATCTTGCCTCGCTCTGGCTTGGCCAAGCGTTCACCTGTTTGGATCAAGAGGGAGGAAAAGGAAGGTGAGATGCTATGAGCCAGGGGCCACAGCTACTATCACTACACCCTCATCCAACGCACAGCTTAGCTAGGCAGGAGCGTGTGCATGTGTGCACGTGTGTGTGTGCTCACACGCCCCTCAGGGGCTGGAGAATGTCACCCTGGCAGGGAATGGAGGGAGAATCTACCCTGCCTCTTCTTTCTTCCGCTTCTCAGGTCCAAACCTGCTTGCATCCACTCAACATTTATTTATCAAGCCCCTATGCATGCCAGGGATTTGGCTGGGTGCTAGGAATAGGGAGGTGAACAAAACAGTTTCTTGCCTTTATGTAATTATAGTCCAGTAGGAGAGACAGACCTTAAACAGAGAAACACAAATAAATATATACAATGAACATATACAAAGAAAGATCCATACTCTTCAAAAGAGGAGGAGGAAGAGGAAGGAGGAACTGAGGATTGGTCAGGAAGGTCTGAGTCTTTGCAGCCAGGCAAAGAAAGCAAGGAATGACAATCAAGGCAGAAGGAATAGTACATGCAAAGGCCCTGAACTCCTTTCTAGCCTTCCCTGTGCCCTGGGAGCAGGGTATAGGTTACTCAAGTATGAACTTCCCTGGTATTTAAATGGGCTGCCTATAGCAGAACTGCAGTTCTTGTCCTGTTATGCTGCCTCCCATGGGCACCCACGGCTCAGCTCCAGGTCAACCCTCCACCCCCACCTCCAGACTCCACACAGTAGCTTCTGCTGCTCAGGTTTCAAGGTCAGAACCTTCAAGAAAATAGAGGTAGAAGAGCTGGCTCTCCAAATACCCCCATTAAGAGAGCTTTTATCCCAGAACAACGAGCATCCAGGAGCCTCTGAGAATTTTCTAAGTGCAGCATGTGGCCATACCTAGGAAAGGGGTACATAGCTTTCAGGGTCTCTAAGGGGCCAAGGACCCCAGGACCCCAAAAGGCTGAGACCCACCATCGCAGAGCCTGGAACTCAGGCCCCTTGTGCCTGCCCTGATCTCCCGACCCGCCCCACTGTCTCCCCAGCAGGCCGACAGTCTGGCTGTGACAGCTCCAGGGACCAGCCACTGGGATTCTGGGCTAGCCCACCCTGTCAGAGCAGCACCTCTCCAGGTGGCCTCCCAGCAGCCCGCTAGCTTCTGGAAGACAGCAGACTTCCTGCCACAGATGGGATCTGGCTGTCAGCTCCCAGGGAAGCACAGCTGTTTTTTAAATTAAACCAAGACTTTCCACTTGGGGCCCTCCCAAGGCTCTGGGGGCAGCCCAGCAAGGTACCCCAGCATTTCCTGTCCAGAGGAGATGGCACAGGGGCTCCCTCCCCACAGGATGGATGCAGGCAGCACCATGTCCCTCCCTGGAACGCTGCTCCTGTTACAGCCCCAGCTCTTGGGGCCTGTCCAGCTAAGTGGAGTGCCCCAGCCATTCAGCAGCTGCGCACACTGGCCGGAAGGGGGCTTCTGCAAAGGACAGGGAAGGAGGCAAGGGTTAAACATGGGAGAACGGGAAAAGCTTCCCAGACCTGCGCCAGTGGTTCTCAAACGTCAGTCACCACAAAATCACCTGGAGAACTTGCTAATCTGTGGCTGTCCAACCCCTTTCCCCCTCTCACTAAGTTTGTGATTAGGAGGGCTGGGGTAAGGTTTGGAAATCGGCATTTTGACAAGCAATCCTGCTGATTCTGGCGTGGGTAGTCCAAGGACCACACTTTGAGAATCTCTGTAGGCAGCATCCCCTCCTTCTCCTCATCCTGGGGCATCCTACCCATCTCCAACGATGATCAGGAGAAGAAGGTACCCCAGCATTTCCTGTCCAGGGGAGAACAGATCATTTCATAGAACAGATCCTCCCCAGCCTTGGGAAAGAGACACATGCTTCACAGACACGCACAGGTTCCCCTGGGCACAGGTCAGACCCATGCAGCAGGAACACACTGGGTATCATGCAGACAAGCCCAGCTCTGGGCACTCAGTCGTTCTAATGTTCCCGGAGCACCACCTACATGTCTGGTGCTGTTCGAAGCACCTGGGACACAGAGAGAAGATGGCCTGCCCCAAGGAGCTGTGTGGAGCAGAGAAGAAAACAAGTGAACCAAAAATGATAACACTTTGTGGTAAAAGATACGGCAGAGGAATTAATGGGGTATTAGAGGTGCTGGGGAGCTGGGCAGGGGGTGGGAGGCGGTGGTGCGGGCTGGGCACAGCCCACTCAGATTAGGGGACAGAGGAGGGGTGAAGCTTTCTTGAAGGACACCCTCAAGCTGTGTTTTGAAGAATGATAAATAGTAAGGCCAGGTTTGTTTAAAACTGGGGAAGGGTAGTAGAGGAGGTAGGAAGCAGGGACATTCTAAAAGGCAGTTAGAGGCCGGGCATGGTGGCTCACACCTGCAATCCCAGCACTTTGGGAGGCTGAGGCGGGGATATCACCTGAGGTCAGGAGTTCAATACCAGCCTGGCCAACATGGTGGAACCCTATCTCAAAGAAAAAAAGAAAAAAGAAAATAAATAAATAAATAAATAAAGGCAGTTAGAAGAAAACAGCATGGTGGCTTCTCAAAAAATTAAACAGAGAATTCTCATGTAACCTAGCAATTCCACTTTGGGGAATATACCAAAAAAGAACTGAAAGAGGGATTTAAAAAGTATTGTATACACCCGTGTCCCAGCATTATTCACAATACCCAAAAGGTACGAACAACCCGAGTGTCCACCGACAGGTGAATGAACAAAATGTAGGCAGCCATTTTATATCTGTAGGGCATACGTACAATGGAATATGATTCAGCCTTAAAAAGGAAAGGGATGGCGGCACATGCTCCAACACGGATGAACCGCGAAGACATTCTAGTAAGTGAAATAAATCAGTGTCACAAAGGGAAAAATACTATATGATTCTACTCGTACAAGGTATACCTAGAGGAGTCAAATCAGAGACAAAAAGTAGAATGGTGGTTGCCAGGGGAGGGCCAGGGGGAGCGGGGAGCTAGTGTTTAACAGGTGTAGGGTGTCGATTTCAGACGGTGAGGAGCCCTGAAGATGGACAGTGGTGATGGCCGCACAACAGTGAGTGCATGCATTTAATACCACTGCACTGCAACCTTTAAAATGGCTAAAATGATACATTTTTGTTATATATTATTTAACCATATACACAGGTTTTATCTGAAAGTAGAAAAAACTACTTTTAAAAAAAAGGGCAGTTAGAGCTTGTGCAAAGGCACAGGGAACAGAAAGTGGATGTCATCTGAGGAGAGCTGCACATTCCCCGCCCCCACCACCAACCAGCAGAGGATCTAAGGTCTGATACCTTTTTGGGAATAGTGAGTTGAAAACAAAGCAGGTGCCAGCTCATGCAGGATTCCATAAGCTATGCTAAAGAATGTGGCCTGCAGGCTCAAAGCCCTGGAGAGGCACCATGGGCTGAGGGCTGTGAGCAGGGAAGAGCGTGACCATATTTGGACTGACTGTCGGGCGAGCCCTCTGGCTACAGCGATGGGGGTGGACTGCCAGGAGGAGCTGGGGTAAAGGCCTTTATGGGATCATCTAGGTGAGAGTTGACACAGGCCACACTGACACCACAACAGTAGGAGTTAAAAGAAGGATTGAGAAGAAGGAATCAGAATGAACAGAACATCAGTAACAAGTTGCAAAGAAGAACTGTCTATGATCCCAGCTTGGGTGCAGAGAACAAGACTCTGGGAGGGAAAAGAGGTTTGCTAGGGCAGGAGTGACAAGCACAGAGTTTTGGACATGCTGAGAGGACCGTGTGGGACACTGGGGTGGAGACGCCCAGCGAGGTTCAGCATTTGAGAGGTGGCTCAAGGGAGAGGCCTGGGCTGGGATTAGGTCTAAGGCTCACTGGCATCAAGGTGAAGAGAAAGTGAAGACAGTAGCTAACATGGCCCAGCGTACCAACCAAGGCTAGACTCACGGGACTCCCACTCTTTACGGGATGGTAGCAGAAAGGCATTCATAAGCAGGATGAGATGTGTGTTCCAGTAGAGCTGTCCCTCCAGACATCTGGACAAACCGGGGGCTGGGGAATGGCCTGGGTCACCTGGATACAGCTAGATAAGTAGTAATGGAGCCAAGATTTGGAGACAGTCACCCATGGTTAACATTCTTGGCCACAGAATCGCACTGGGGAGGAGAAAGAACCTCAGTTCCTGCAAAGCCTCCCTTTTTTTTTAACAAGCAAACAAGGATGCTGAAACAGAAAGGCAAAGCAATTTGTCCAAGGCACCTGGATGGCTGGCACCAGAACCAGAACTCAGACCCACGCTCCTAGGGGGAATTCATACATGTCATCCCCAACTTGTTTCAAGAGTCCCAAAACCAGCTGCGCCCATGGACAGAGCGATGCCAAGGTGTCAGGCAGCACCAATAGACAGCATCTCGTCCTGGGCCAGGGTCCGCCTCACCTGAGATGACCTCCAGCAGCAGCATGAGCTTCAGGCCATCCCGGAAGTCCTCTTCGATGTTCTCAATCTGCGTCCCCGCCTTCCGGAGGTGGGAGTTACACCATGCCGTGAATGTCTGGGCAGAGAGAAGAAGGGCAAGTGGTCAGGGGACTGGTGTTGTCATCCTCATTGGACAAGCTGTTTAACAGTGCCGGGGGGTGGGCGGTGGACACCTACTCAGCAGAGCCTCTCAACAGAGTTGCCCCACCATGGTCTCATTCACAGCGTCAACCAAGCACTGAGCTCCCCATAGGGCAGCAGCCGAGGGACCCTACACAGAGCCTGCTACATGGGTGGGAGCAAGCAGGATAGATGAAGCAGCAAATTTCCTTAACATCCGCCTCCCAGCCCTCTCTCACAGACATCATGCACACCCACATTTGAAAATGCCACAATTCCATTCTTATAAGTTACCTCTTAAGTTATAAGACTTAGTTTCAATCTTCACAGTTTTAAGACAGAGTAACCCAGAAGTAACATATTAAGCCCTGTTGATACCTTAGGGTAAATTAGTATATTAAATCATTTCATTAGCAGCCAGCTAAGAGAAAGGAGTAATAAGTTTCGCTGAGAACAGAATACAGATGCAGGGTGTCAGGATAAGGGGGAAGAAGAGTAAGCACCCCAATGTGTATCTGTGTGTGTTTGGGGTGGGGATAGGGGCACCTTAAGCTGCAAAGGCATGAGGAGTTCCAGAAAGGGAACGTAAGGAGGTTAAATCAAAGACCATCAGCTTCATAGTTCTCTATTAAGCAGATCATGATCAGGTGAGGCAGCAACTAAGCCATCCTGTGCCAACAGCACCACCTGGTGGTTCAAACAGAAACAGGGTGTCTCAACAAACATGAGAAAAGCATGCATCTCAGTTTTACACACCTAAAACAGGTATCTCTCTCCAGTTGTCTCCAGTCTATGGCAACCAGAGAGAAGAGCTCCCTTGCTTTAGATCTAAATCATTCATTGGCAACTCCAGACTTCTCTGCACCAAATGGCACTACCAATTACATGGGGCTCACCCAACACCAGAGCCATTCACCTCTCTTCCCACCTGCCCTGCAAAATTCAAAGGGTGGGAAGAGTATCATTCATGTGTTGGTAGGAACCACACTAGAAATACTCTTCCTCATGGGAAAGGGCACAGCCTTATGCTCCCCACCCCCTTCCTCCTGCCCTGGGGAACTCCGAAGTTGAACTGGCAATGAGTGGGCAGGAAGAGGGAAGAACATCACATCAGCGAGTATTGGGGGAAAAGAAATAGCTGCTTAGATTTAGAAGCAAAAGTTGAAGAGCCTGTGAGCAAGAAAGAGAACAGGGGGACAGGAGCTATCAGTCCACACAGGCAGGGAGAAAGGGACAACATTATGATACCCCATGACTCTGGGCTTAATCTTTCAATCATGTCTCACTAGTAACTTACCAATACGGAATACCTGTCTCTTCCTGCAAACATATCTCCACTCTGCAGGCCAGCCTACTCCCATGATGAAGAGAAACAGCGTATTGTGCTATCCCAGAGCTTTGGGAAGACTGGCACACAAATCGGGGGTGGATAAGAGGCATACATTGATTTCCAATGTCCTCTCTATCTTGCTTGGCTAACTCACTCATCTTTCAAGACTGGGTAGAGATATCACCTCCTCCAGGGAGCCTTCCTGATAGGCACCTACTATGTCTGGGCTGGACATACACCCACAGTACCCTGCATTCACCCATTATGTCTAGCCACTTGTCAGCTCCACACCCCTAGCCTGGGAGCTCCTGGAGGTAGACACTCAATGTTCACCTTCATATCCCAGAGACCCAGGGCACAGAGTCAGGGACACAGCAGTGAACTAAACAGCAAAAGTCCTTGCCTCTGTGTAGCAGACATTCTAGTGGACATAAGAATTGTGGAGCCAGGTGAAGGAACAAGTGGGGAACTGGATGCAAAGCTGAGAGGGTCCTGGGAGATCCAACTGTACCTTGTGGGTGAGGCTGAATGCTCTCAGGGCAGGGGGTGATGGGACAAACGGTGCTCTTAGGGACCCTCTGGACACAGAAGACAGCTCGGAGGAAAGAGGACACAACAGGGGAGGGAAGCATATGTATCAAGCATCCTTCCTCCGGTGCTGGCACTGCACCTTTATCCTTTAGCCTTTATCTTTATTTTTAACTTCTTTTTATTGGTAGAAAAAATATTAAAGGATTTTTAACTCTTTAAAACAAATATAATTTATTTTGGTTTTGTACATTCTCTCCCAGCTGACACTGGTCTGCCCAGTGTCTTCAAGCTGTGCATTCACACTGGAGTGTGTGTTCACACTGGGGTGGACGGTCTTTTCTCATTTATCACCAACTTGGCCAACCCCAGCACCCAATCCCAGGCCCCCAGCACTGAACCTTCAGCCTAAGGTTTTCTATTCCCTTGAGGGGAACTGTGTCAGCCCCAGCAACTCCAACGGACGCTTTCAGGTCCAATGTGACCTGAAACACCCGGGGTTCTAGCAGGCACCGCCCTGCGCCCGCCCAGCTGGGGGCTGTAAATTCTCACTGTTTACTACCCAGTCGTGGAGGGGGTTGGGGGTGAGATAAAGGAGGAAAAGGCTGCTGTTGTAAAAAGACACTGCTTTTGAAAGAGGAAAAGCGCTGTTGAAAGCAGCCAGTCCCCTTTCCTGGAGAAGCCAGGCTTAGCCCTGGGAAACAAAACACACCTGTGTTTGCTCGGGTCTCCTGGACAAAGCACTGGAACACAGCTTTACTAAAACCCCCAACCCTCAGAGGCCCCACAGATTACTGCCTTGAAGGGGGCTCTGAGCACCTCTCAAACTGCAAAGTTTCCCCAACAAGCAGCACCCACCACAAAGTTGAGGCAAGAGGAGGAAATGGTGGCAGTGACCCAGTGATCAACAACGTGCCCTTCGGGACCCATCAGAGCTGGGTTCCGTCCTCAGATCCACTATTTACTGGCTGTGTGACCTTCAGATTAACCTTCCTAAACTTCAGTTCCCTTTGCAGTAAAACAGGGACAGTAAGAGCGCTTCATAAAAGTTAAAAAGATTAACTCAAAAAATATCCGTAAAGAACTTGCCATTGAGTAAATGTTCAGCGAACAGTGGGGAGGAGGAAGAGGACTAGCTCCCCACAATGTTCCCAGGACCAGGTCTCAGAGGACTTGCTCTTGCTCCCCTGCACTCCCACCCCCATCCTCTCCCTGCCCCCAGCCACCAAACCCTCCTGTTGTAGGTCCCACCCCGCCATGCACTGTACTGTTTCCAAGATGACAACATGCAAGCTTTTTGAACCAGTGCTGGTGTGTTTGTGGGAGAGGGCTGAAACCGTATTCGTGGGAGAGGGCTGGAACTGTGGAATGTTCGTGGGAGAGGGCTGGAACTGTGGCGTGTTCGTGGGAGAGGGCTGGAACTGTGGCGTGTTCGTGGGAGAGGGTGGAACTGTGGCGTGTTCGTGGGAGAGGGTGGAACTGTGGCGTGTTCGTGGGAGAGGGTGGAACTGTGGCGTGTTCGTGGGAGAAGGCCATCTTCAAGTCACCTCCTTGGGTCATGCTCAGGCTCACAGCCTGACAAAGGAGACCTGGGACGGCAGGTCTTCAGTGGATCCACTCCGTTCCAGAAATGGCTTCGGGGATGCTGAGAGGTCCCAGGAAAAGTCCTTGGGACCAAGGATCACACTGGGACATTCCCACAGAGCAGCGGCAATGGCCTGTTCTCCTCTCAGCAGCCCTATCTGCACTCCACCCGCCCTGGCCCTGCACAGTCTCTGAGGACCCGGGACAGAGGGAGGGGCCGCAAAACAGCCTGGACCCCTGCTCAGCCTCTCACTGACCTCGAAACCACTGCCCATGTCTAATCCAGTTTAAAGGTGGTTTGAGGAGGTGAAGAGTGCAACTTTCCAGCCCTGAAGTTCAGGGTTGCAAAGAGGGACCTGGCCAGGTGCCAACACAGGGGCCCCAACCCAGGCCAGGGCTCAGCTCACGGAGCTGGCCATGGAGACAGAATCACATTGTCCACCTTCTGTACAGGTCTCACAGCCTTGCTCTCACAGATGCCGCTAACATCTTTTCATCATATCTTTCACAATTATCATGTTGATATACTTCCTTTAAAATGTGTTGGAAAGGAATATGGCTTTTGAGAACGTGCCTTCCCTGTCCCCCAGCTCAGACACACTGCAATGTGACTTTAGCCACAACAGGCCTCTTTGAGCCTCAGTTTTCATGTCTGTAAATGGGGGACAATAGCATCTCCCAGGCATGACTGAGAGGAAATACCCTTATGCAGTAACTAATATCAGCATAGTAATGTTAATTTATGTGAATAATGACAATATAGTATCATTGTGTCTGAAATATAGTAAGTGTGCACAAAGTGGTGGTTCCTGCCATCATCATCACTGCCTGAATTTCAGATTCTAAAAGGATGTCTGAATAATCACACTCTGCAGGGATCTGGGGTACAGAAGATTACCACAGAAGCATGAGTCAGGGGATGAGCTTTTACAGTCAAGCATCCCTCATACCCTTGGTCGTGCGGGGAGGGAGGGATAAATCACAAGACCCTAAAGCAGGAGAGCCATGGGATTTGCTCGGATCACTCTGCAGACAAGTAGCTATGGGAATGCAAGGATTTAGTCACTCTAAAGAAGACACTGCAAATCCAGGCCTATCAACTTCTAAGAGGTGGTAAACCCAGGACAAGTCACTTGACATGGCTCTGCCTTAAGGCACCATCTGTAAAATGGGGGTAGTAATAGCACCTCCCAGGGGACTACTGGAGGAGTCAATGAGACAGTCCACTTAAAACACTGAAAATGTTATAGCAACTGCAATAATTATCCATTGTTACTATTGCCACCACAATTGGGGGTATAATTATTATACGTTTATGCTGTTAACACACCTCATAAAAGAATGTTAGAGCTAGAAGAGGTGTTAGGCACCACCCAAGTCAAACCTTGACTTTACAACTAAGGACACACACCAGAGAGGGTGAGCGGCTTTCCCCAGCCCACACGGCTAGGTTACATTCACAACCCAACCTCCCAACTCTTCCAGCCCCTCACACTTTCTGCTCCACCCAAATG